ACTATTTTTCATTTGATTAAAGTTTTTTACATAAACTTAACAACCTGTGAGAGAATGGAGAAAGAAAGAAAGGAAGAGAGAGAGAGAGAGAGAGAGAGAGAGAGAGAGAGAGAGAGAGAGAGAGAGGATAAGTATTAAGAAGCAAAAGTAAAAACATTAATTAGTGAGAAATTATAGGATTGGTGATAAAATAGCGAAACGTAGAGAAAGATACATTGATAAGAAAGAATAATGGAATAAAAATTTATGAAATGAATGAGAGTGAGAGAGAGAGAGAGTGTGTGTGTGCGAGAGAGAGAGAGAATTTTGACTTTTTGCAAACCAAAAGGAAAAGAGAAGAAAACAGGGAAGAAAAGAATGAATTTTAATAAAGGGAGAGAGATGGATAGAAAGAGAAGGAGTGAGAGAGAGAAAGAGACAGAGAAGGGGGAGCGAGGAAGAGAGTAAGAGAGGGAGGGAGGGAGAGAGAGAGAGAAAAGAGGGAAAAAGAAGAGCGTGTTGATAAAAATAATAAATTGCAGCAACAACTGGACAAAAAAAGAATTCTGAATTTTAAATAAATAGGCTTAATCTCTTAAATCCATTGTGGATCAGTGCCGAAATTTCATAAACGTATTCCTTTAATATTGATCAGGGTATGCTAAAATTAAATTTAAAAACTTTTCATAATTGTTATTTATAATATTAAAATGTTTGAAGGAAAAACTGTGATAAATGAAAGTAATTTTAATTCTAGACTCCAAGGCTTCTTCGGAATACTCCTTTTTATGAAAATGTTCTTCACAAATTCTCACTTTGACATAGAATTAAGCGTTTTATACTTGTAAAATAATCTGTGGTTAATTAAACGAACCTTCATTAGCTCCGGTTCTATAAGATACTCGTTTGTTGGAATTGTAGAAAATCCTGGACGATTCATGGTCTTCGGAATGAAAGAAAAGAGTCAGCACTATCGACTAAGTACATAAGAATCAAGAAAATGTGATATAAAATCGTTTTTCTTCGTGACAGAGTTTCATACTTGGTTTTGCGATGGAGAAAATTGTTTCACTAGGGCCGGAATCCTCGGAATTATGACCTTGGATTATGGATTTCCATATGTTTTTGTCAATTCAAATTTATTATCTCTCTCCCTCTTTATTTGTCTGTCTGTCTCTTTTTTTCTCTCTCTCTCTCTCTCTCTTTCTCTCTCTCTCTCTCTCTCTCTCTCTCTTTTATCCATCTGTCCTTTGTCTCAATCTCTCTTACTCTCTCCATCTTGCATTTTTTTAAGAAAAGCAAAACTCATATTCGTTTCTCCAACTCCGAAAATTTCTCGAGTACAAAACTTTGGGAAACAAACTTATAATTTTTTTCCAATAATGTTTGCCTTCCAAATCTTTCGATTTTGTTGTTGTTTGAAAATCACAAAATTGAAACAACTTTAAAACACCTTAACCGATCTAAGGTAAAAACGACAAAAGTTTAGAACAATATGAACCATACGTAATGATATAAATAATTTAGAACCCTACATAAAAACCGAAATTTTGAGTTTTTCTTTATTTCATCTTGATTTTTCTGAATACGTAGTATGTAATTGAGGGCCGATGGGGGTACCTAATATTCCGCCATCAGCCCTCTTGCACTACGCTTTCACGCCAATAAATACTTTCTCTCCCAACAGCTCTAGATGCAGAGAACTATCAGTACTTTATACAATGAAACAAACCTGTTTCCTCCAATAATCGGAACGGGGAATCCTACGCGCTCTCTTTATGGAGCCAAGCAATGGCGCCCTTTAATTAAGTAAGGCACAAGAAGCAACCTTTCTCTGCCTACCAGAAACATTCGTGGGCATTTGCCCAAAAGTAAGAATCCGTGGGTCAATCTCGCATGGCCTATCCTTAATCCTTGGACGGATCAGATTTTCCGAGGGCCACCTATCCATGCTGCTCTTGATTTCCCTACCGACTCGGCCCATCGACGCTGCCACCTGCTTTTACTAATTTTTGTGATTGCATCGGTTCTATTAACCAAAAATAATTATTTTAATTGATTAATCATTTGATGCAAAGTATGGTTGATTTGAAAAATTAGTGTCACGAGCGGGACTCGAACCCACGACCTCCGGATCAGCTCCCCGACGCTATTTGAAGTATCGTGGCAAGGGTAGACCCGGAGGTCGTGGTTTTGAGTCTCGCACATGACACTAATATTTCAACTCAACAAACATACTTTGCCTGAAATAATAAATCCATTAGAATAATTACTTTTGGTTAAAGAACCACAACTAAAAACGTATATGAATTACATTGCCATAGACTCAGACACTAGTATATTTATTTCGACCTAGTATCCCAAAAAACTTTTATTAAAAACAATCCCGTGTTAGTTACCATAAAAAACCCCTGGGATGCGTTGAGTTAACACCCTGTTTACAATTTATGGCTTTAATTGCATATCATTCCAAGCCTTGTAGATATAAGATGTAGATGTAATTTTCAGGGTATAGTACACTGCGCCCTTTAGGAGCTAATGTATCCTCCGTACTCTGCCTAAAGCACATCGGTGAGTCCTATTTCATCAAGAAACTTGATTAATAGGCCCTGTTTCAGTGGTTGAAGCTCTTCTATGGTCACATTATACATCCCAAAACACTTCCTCCAGCGGGGAAGTGTACCTCCGCAGTCTGCCAGTAGATGTGTTGGTATCTCCTCTGCCTCTTTGCAGAATCTGCATGTGCCATCTTGGATTACTTGGATTATTCCAATCTTCTTTATGTGTCCATTTAAGCTGCAGTGCCCTGTAAAGAAACCTATTAGGATTCGCAGTTTATTCCTGCTTCCTTTGACACATTCTGTAATTTCTTTTCTTCCGAAATTTGTTACGAGATTCTTGGATTGCTTGTTTCCAATGAGTCAATTCCGTTGTTCCTTCATTTTCTTTTTGTCCTTCTGTCCGAGATACTTGTTAATAGTGTGGGTTCCTATGCCACAGAAGGGTTTGGGTCCTATCAGGGAGTAGCAGCTCTTTTCCTTGCAAGGGGAATTCTCGTTGCCTTCTACTCCCATATGTCCTGGGATCGGAGGCTGACTTTGTTCTGCATACCTAATATGTTTAGTTTGGTTTTGTAGTTCAGCACCATCATTGAATGATATCGAGCTTAGTACTTTGATGGCTGCTTGGCTATCTGACATGATAGTTATATTCTTGTTTTTGTACCCTTTACTTACGTTGAGTTGGGTACATCTTTCGATTGCGAGAATCTCAGCTTGGAAGATACTAGTGTATTTTCCCATGGGTTCTGAGTATTTGGTTCCAGGTCCAAATACTACTGCCCCTGGACCTTCATGTGTTCTAGATCCATCTGTGTACCATGTTGCCGCTCTTAAAAGAGATGTTTCCATCTCGTCCCCATTCTTTTTTGGTACCTAGATTTATTTGGAAGTTTTGATTAAATTCAAACATCCTGTTCATGTCCTCGGGGCCGTGAGTATCGGATGGTCTTTCCATAGTTTGTTGCTGTCTCTCCATTTTAGTTTTATTCCTATTGGCGGTTTCTCTTTGGTAATATTAATGATGGTTTTCTGCGCTGTCCTTATTACCTGGTGTAGGGTGAAGTAATCCCAGTACTTTTTCCATGCTAATTGTAGGACATGTTCTCATTGCTCCCGTTATGCAGGTGCATACACGTCAGTATTTTTGTGAGTTCTTTACTTTTAGTTACTTGTTCTGCTATATCAGCCCAGGCTATATCTCCAAATATAAGTATGGGTCTCACTATCATGGTGTACATCCAGCAGAGTGTCCGATTTGCAACCCCAGTTCCTCCCTGCTATTCTTCAACACACCATCAAAGCTCGCGTCGCCTTCGTGATGGTAGAGCCGATGTTCTTAAATGTCAGTGTTTTATCTAGTGTGATGCCCAGATATTTGACTTATTTTTTGATTTCCATCACAGTGTTATTGAGTGTTATTTGCCTCATGTGATCTAGTTTCCTTGTGAAAAGGCGACTATAGTTGTTTTATTAGAGTTGATTCCTAATTCAGCGGTTTTACACCATTCTTCTGTGATTTTTAGTCCCTCTTGTTCCAAGCCTTTAAAGTATTCCTATTGTCTATTTATAGAAATTTAAAAAAAAATGCAATGGTCACACTTGACAAGAAGTAATTCATTCCGATCAGGAAGACTGTCAATTCTGAACCTAAATTCACTAATTTCGTGGTCCGCGTGACCAATTAATATATTACAATTAATTAAGGCTTTTAGTTGAGATAAAAAAGTCAATGGCACGAGCGGGATTCGAACCCACGATCTTCGGCTAGATACGCCGCTGCTCTCTTTTATCTCAACTAAAAACCTTAATTAAACTGAACCTAAACTTTATTCAACTTCAGAACTACTTTATTCTAATTTACTGACATGCCAGGTGCCACAAGGTTGAGGGAATGGAGAAAATAACGTCCCTTTTTTTAAATTATCATTTCTGTCTGCGTTTCTGAACCCAAATTTCATGAAATTTTCCTAAAGGTTTCATGTTTTTCTAATTGTATGCTTTTAATTTGCTTTTATGTAATTTAATTCATATAATTTATTGTATAATGAATATTGAATGAATATATGAAGGTTGAGGGAATGGAGAAAATAACGTCCTTTTTTTAAAATTATCATTTCTGTCTGCGTTTCTGAACTCAAATTTCATGAAATTTTCCTAAAGGTTTTATGTTTTTCTAATTGTATGCTTTTAATTTGCTTTTATGTAATTTAATTCATATATTATGGAAAAGTCCAAACGGAATAGGAAGCAGAAATTTTGATGTGATTAAAAACTATGTTGTTTTTTTTTGTCATAATACACAATAGTTCCTGATTTCCGGCTGATCTAGGACGTTAATATACTGTATACGAATTTATGTGTACTTATATTTTTTCTAAATATGTTTCGTGATGCATAAAAACATTAATTAGTGTGCGTTGTATTTATTATAACTGATGTAAATTTTTATGATTTCTACAGGAATCGAGATGGACGCGCCTCGAGGAGACGATATAGATTTAGTATCCCCCGTTCCCGATGAATATTACGACAGAGTGATTTATCATCTGAGGAACAATTTTTTCGCTGACGAGCCCCTGAATAATTCCGTCGGCCTGTGCCAAAGGGGTGAATCGAACGAAGAGCTGGAAAAGCTGAGCATTTCAACCCTTAAGGACCGGCTTTCAGTCATGGCCATTAACAGCAACAACGAGGTATTTCGAGGGGGTTTTCCACTTTGTCGCCTTGCTTCGGTTTTACGGAAATAAAACTCTTTTCACTTTTATTAAAGACAGATTAAAAAAGAGAAACTTTTTTTAAATTGGCGATAATTGTTGCAGGTGATCGCTGTCGTTTTAAACGGGGTCCTCACGGAAAAGGACCTTGACGAGTCGCTAATCAAATTAGAAAACAACTCAGACGAAAAATGCAAAACGATATTCAGAGTGCTTTACAGGCTCAATCATTCGTTACAGCTATTCAAGAAATACAAAGTCGATAAAATGTTCGAATGCAGGATTCTATCCGTCGATGCCAAGTATCGCGGTTTGGGCTTGGCCAACAAACTTATCATCAGAAGCGAAGAGCTTGCGAAGGACTTCGGCTTCAAGGTAAAAACATGATCGACAGTTAATTCAATCCGAGTTTTCCTTTACAACAAAACTTTCATCAATTTCTAAACGTTCGAGTTTTCAATTAAACAATCGAGTTAATTAAACCTCCTTTTTTTCCAGGTGTTCAAAACAGATTCGACAGGGCTTTTTTCTCAAAGGACTTTAATGAAATTAGGCCACGAGGCTGTATTTGAGGTGAATTACGAGGACATAAAGGATGAAAACGGGGAGCAAATATTCAAGACCAAACCTCCTCACACTTGTTTGAAAATCATGACCAAAATTCTCGATTAAATTTAAAAATAAATAAAACAAAGAGCACGCTGTTCACAAAAACACTGCAATTAGTCATTTTAAATTTAACGTTAAATGACCGAATGGTCGTAAATTTGGCAGAAAAAAAGGCAATCGGTGCAATTTTGATCTTTTGATCTAAATAAGTTAAAATATCCAACAATTTGAGAACGATGAGCGTTCTGTATCGACCAATGAACAAGTTACAACGAAATTCAATGTTCAACATTGTTTTTAAAGACAATATTTCATATTAAAATTTAAAAAAAAAACGCTTAAAAAATTAAAGTCTATTGAATGTTAAGTTTTTATAAATGTTGAAAATTTATTGACGTTTAATTATTCGTTAAAGTTGAATATACGTTGAAACAAAATTTTATACTCTCTGTTACAAAACTGGAAGAATCTCTGTTATTGGTGTTATTAGATTTAAACAATAAAATAAACGTAGAATGTACCCATAATTAAATGTAATCATCACTGTATTCGACGTATTGATTTGGAAAAACAACACTGTTTTCATAGTCGTTAATTGATTTTTAATGTTAAGAACTCACAGGGAACATTAGGCAATGTTTAGTTAATAGGATTTTTCACGGTCACATTTTTATGCGACTGGACATCAAGACGGACAAACGGAAAGAATTCAATACAAAACTAAACATAATAAGGGAACAATGTTTTTAAATCAATTGTACTTATTGTTTAAAACAAGGTAAATAATATGTGACATATATCAATAAATATTTTATCTTTATATGTCTTTTTATGATAAAAATGTTAATAAACAGATCCATTTGAATTTTTTTCTTTCAAAAAGACGATTTATTTCACGGAAAAAGGTGTAACATAAGCATATCTGTTCTGACCATTTTATTGGGATTCAGTCCAAACCCCACCATGTTCCTAGTAAGTAATACAGCTAAGTATTCCAGTGATAAAATATCTTGGAAATAAATAAATAAAAATACATGAACATTATCAAACGAAAGTAGATATAGTATGAAAGCAATTAAGCCAGATGTACATAAAGTGAGGAACTTGAGAGAAAAGAACTTGTGATTCTCTCGAGATTGCGAATAGGTCATATCAGACTAATCCATAACAGGCTTTTAATAGGCAGCAACTCGTCCTCGGTGTATTCGAAGTGGAGTATCATTTTGACTGTAAAACGTATTTTGGTCGACTGTCGCCCTTTGCAGCCCTTTAATCAAAAGCTCAACTTTTCGAGTGATTTGAAGGAGTTACTTTCTAAGATCACTTTTCTGCTTGACTTAAATTTATTGGAATTTATAATGAGATTTAGGCCTTTTCCCAAATTCTTATACCTTTGAATGATTTGTCTGTTAGTGTTTGAATGAGACTTCTGCGTGCAAGATTTCTTTCTTTTTTCACGAATTTTTGCGCCTGCCGGAGCGGAAAAATTAAATAAAAGAAAAGAAAAATTGTGGGGTAATAAACTACAATGCACAAAATGGCAATTTAAACAAGAAAAGTTAGCTCCCTCTGAAAAAATAAATAAATAAAGAAGGATAAGGAAAATTATTTATTATTTTTTATTATTATTGGCCATACAAGCCTATGAGAAATGTTTAAATTATGGAACAAAAATTCGAAATTCTTCGTTTTTTTTTTGCGTACTTTGGTCTTTCAAATTAAGTATTTTAAAAGGATAATTTTTTTTTTAATTTGGATGCCAATAGGATAGATTAGTTGAGTAGTATGAGTGAATATTAGGAATGTCAGAGCTTTATAGCTAGAAGGGATATAGCTAACTTAAAATAGAAGTTTTTATGTAAGGTTTTTGGTTGAAATGAAAAAGATAGTGTCACGAACGGGATTCGAACCTACGACCTTGGGCTCAATACGCCGCTGCTCTACCACTTGTGCTATCGAGACTGATCAAGTAGTTATAGCAGCGGCGTATTGTGCCGAAGGTCGTGGGTTCGAATCCCGCTCGTGACACTAACTTTTCATTTCAACCAAAAACCTTATATAAAAAGTTAATTAATTGAATGAAGTAATTTGGTCAATAGACCACTAAATATAATGGATCTAAAATAGAAGGTTTAGGACATGAAATGACCTTAGCCTTTAAAACGCCCTTAAAAATTAATAATAATAATAATAAACCTCGTCAATTTTGTACTGTAAATTTTTGTCGAAATGTCCAAAGATTTAATTGTTTAATTAAAACAAATTTTTTCGTTGAATAAAATTCAAAGTTTGTCAGTTTATTTATTCGATATTACATCGTCGACAGGCTTTCTACACTGTTCAGAGCTGTGCGCAGTTGTACTTCCTTATAAAGGCCATATCCTCAAATTAATCTAATTTATCACAATTGACGCGTCCTTTTGGTTTGTCGATTGACTCGGATTGATTCAAATTAAAAAAGAAGAAAAGGCCAATTTAAAAATGAAATCTTATTAAACAATTTAAAAAATGCATGACCTAATTGTATTGAGCTGAAACGCACAGTGCATTGTAATTTTTATGAAAAAATTATTATTTGATCGTATATTAAATATTTATACAGTTAGTAAAAAAGTCTAAATACATTAAGTATTAATGACAAAAAAGGGAGGAAAATTAAGGATTTTGATTTAATTATTATTTATTTAATTAATTAAAATTAAAAGGAAAATTACATTTGAAGTCTGTTTAACTATTTCATTCATACAAGAGAAAATAATGTCAAAACGTTTGAAAAAAGTCTGCGTATGGGGAAAATAACCAATAACAAAAGACGTCATTTATTAACAAAACAAATTTATCGGTGGCAGAGAGGCTCTCGTGTATCAAGAGCACTGTCGATAGGTGGCCCTCGGAGGACCTGTTTCGTAGAAGTAAAGTCATCACCCGATTAAGGATAGGCCATGCGAGGTTGACCCACGTGCACATACTTTTGCCACGGGTATATGTCCGGCATGTACAGAAAGGTTGCTCGATGTGTCCAACCTTATTAAAGGGTGCACTACCTTTACTCGAGAGCGCATAAGAATGCCACCCGATATGAGAATTGTGCTTGAGCACGGCAGCGAGTATCTGGTTCCTCTGTTCCATTTTTTGGAGAAACAGGTTCGTATTACTGTATACAGTACTGACATTTTCTATCCCTAGCGTGTGTTGATAGTGAATGTATTTATTTGCCAGAATGTGTAGTGGGAGATAGCCGATAGTGGAATATTGACTATCAATCGACACTCAACTAGGTTAGTTATGTAAAGTGTGTAAATGGTGATAGAGGAATATTGAATACTCCTTCAGCCTAATTGAGTGAAAGGTATGTTAATAGGAAAGACTGTATTTAAGGGTGAGTGGACGTAGTACTTTGTGTTGGGAGCTGAAATGACCTAGCTGTTGATAGACCCCGGATCCGAACCTCGCCGGCTAGTCGGATAAGACCGAGGTCTGACCCCGGATCCCAACTCCCTAGGTGGGTGATTCTCGAGGTCTGTCGGTAATTTATTGTAATTACGAAAGATTAAATTGCCCATGGACTGCGAAGCCTCGTACAAAAAGAAAATTGATAATATAAATATGTCGTTTCTCCTGATGCTCTTTAAAGGTTACCGAAATATCCCTTGCGAGAAATGATTGGCTCATTTCTGTTCACGCGGTACGTTTGGTTGAAGCGTCACGGGAATGAGGCCAGGGTCTGAATTTCGACTGATAACAGGCCCAGTAGCCCTGGAATTTAGTTCAATACCCATGTACATGTGTCACTTAAAGCAGTCACACCATTTCATGAGTTAGAGTACATATTAGGATGGCGGGGAATGAACTCGTACATTGGAAAGCTAAAGCTTTCTATACTGTATAATCAAGAAGGTGATCGAAGCCTGGAGGTATGGGAGAATTTATGGAACAACTCCATGCAATCCATTTAACTAATGAGTATTTCCCAACCATCTCCTCTCATTTCAGATGCATGAATTAAAAATGGACAGAGTATTGCAACTTCAAGCAAAGCAGAATGATGGAATACCTTTATCTATTATCTATTATAAACAGCCCTGATGGCTCGTGCAGATTGGCACTACCGTAGACCACCAAACCTTGCGACTGCGTCCTACATCAAGACAATGGAATATTAATTACAGCGTCTATATCACATTTACACTACAAAGCAAATCTCCTTTCACAATATGCTACAACAACGTTCCTATCCCTAAATCCGACTGCGTTCGTTACTTTCGGTTCCACCTAGACTCATGCTTAACGTGGCATCTGCTTATACGACTGAAAGGTCAATACCTAACAGACGCAACGGTTTACTCTAACACGTAGAACGACAATCCAAGCCATCGGCGAAAACAAACTTACGATTTACAAAACGCTACTACAACCGATTTGGTATAGAACTGTGGAGCACCGCTCTTCCAAAATCCAACGTCTCCAATCCTTTTAGCCTCAGTACTCAGATCCGTATTGTGTCTCCAATACTGTCCTCCACAACGACCTTAAAATCCCATTTACCCAAAACCAAATTCCTCAAAAATGTACCCAGTTCTACAATAATCTTTTTCAACAACCCAATAGTTTCGCCCAAGCCTTGTCCAACAGAACCAATTCCTAAAATCCAAAAGGCGTCTCAAGAGGAAATGGCGCGACCTCTTTTCTGAGGTGCAGGCAGTGGGAGAATAATGTTGATTATTTGCTCCCCACGATGTAATATGCAAAAATCTATGTTCATCAAATTACATATTGCACCCATAAATTGTAGATTGTAATAAAATATTGTAAAACAATTGTAAAGCCTTTTTAGGTGTCTTCCTAATATGGATGATCAACTAGGATCTGGAGGAGGTCTCCCTGACCACTGCAGCTGTACACCTTATTGTACTTTATTCCTGACTCCATTTTTTGGGAGCTCGCAACACGCGTGTGAACGCTCTGAGCCCCCGGTGTGCCAGTGTTCTTCCATCAAAGAAACTCATTTTTGAAGGGGGTCGGTACCAAATTCAGGGTCGCTGAGATCCGATCCCACCCCAGACCTTCCATTGATAAGAGCCGTGTCAATTCTTTCTATTGCGACCACCGGTCCCTTTAGGCGAGACAAAAAGTCCAGAGGCGACGGCGGGGATCGAACCCATGACCGCGCGATCTACTAGCCGAGAGTCTGACGTCTTAACCACTCGGTTACCAGGACCCATTAAGTGAAGTAAAGTGAAGTGGGAGAATAACATTGATTATTTGCTCCCCACGTTGTAAATATGCAAACATCTATGTTCATCAAAATCCACCCACAGGACTTGTAGGACACTTCCTTGTGGGCCCAGGCAAAGTCCAACCATCAACCCTTGTGCCTGGGGATAATCATTAATGGAGGCAAATTTCCCCCTTACCTTCCTATACCCTTCCTTTCCTTTCTCTTCCTTACCCCCTCTGCTTTGGCAGAGGCTTCCTGGGTTACTGAACCCACACCCCTCAGGCAACGGGTGCATCAGTAGGAGGTTCGTATGAACTCCCGGGTGTGCGATCAGTCCCACCTTAAAAATAATACTAAACCACGGGAGTAGAGTAATCCAAACGGCTCTACTATTTGACGTTGGACTAGTGGTGGACGTGGTTTCCAAACAAATTGTACCTTTGCTGAAGGGTACCGGCCAACGGAGCCGGAGATTCTCTACCTCTCCGGGGTGGTGAAAGGCACGGCACTAAAACGGCCTTTTTCAAGGCACATGTATGGATGCCCCTTTTAGGGCTCTTCTGAACTTGGTTAACATTGCACCACCTCGCTAGCCAAGGGATGTGACAGGTCCATGCATGTAAAATCTTCCTCGTGTTCTCCTTGAGAACACTGGGCGTGTGAGAAGTCCTCTCGGGGATAAGTTCGGACGTTAAAGATCCTCATGGGTCTCAACACAAAGATGGGTACGTCTGTTCACCAAATTACATATTGTACCCATAAAATGCAAATTGTAGTAAAATATTGGAAAACAATTGTAAACTTGTTTAAGTGTTTGTCTAATAAGAGTGTTCCACCTTAACCTTCTGACAAACCAGACATCTATGATCTTCCCAGGCTTTAGACCATATTGCATGACTTTTGGCAGCTTTTCATGCAATTGAAAAGTCTGTGTGGCTGATTTTAGGTCTGTCGTAGGTTGTTGTTCTTTCTGCAACATATGGTTGATTGTGATTTTATTAAATTACTATCGCCATTCAAATTTATTTATTTAATAAAGCGGTAAATAAAGAGGGGTTGTAAAAGGTCGAATAGTTCGGTTTTATTCGAAAATTGGCGCTTTTCCTCTCGACCGTGTTGCGTAATGGCCATATCTCTAGGCGAACTCTCTCCGCGAATGATTTCGAACCGAACCTTCACTGATTCGGGCTTACAGCTGATGGTTATTTCACTACGGTCGAGTTCAAGAGTTTGTAAATTTGTATTTTCGCCCTTCGTTGAAATCAAGAATCAATCATGTCAGGAAAAGACCGTCTCGCTATATTTCCTTCCAGAGGGTAAGAGGAAAACTTAATTATAAAATGTACGACTGTGCTAAAACGGCCTGGACTTTTGTTATTGGCCACGCCTACTTTTTCTCTTTTTTATTTTCACCTTTTTAACTTTTTACACTTGACTTTTTATTCGATTTTAAATTTCCAGAGCGCAGACTTTGATGAAAGGTCGGCTCGTAGGAGCACAGAAGGGGCACAGCTTATTGAAGAAAAAGGCTGATGCTTTACAACTTAGATTCAGGATGATCCTGTCAAAAATTATCGAGGTAGACCTAAAAACGTACAAGCTAGTCTTGTTTTGCATTTAAAAATATTCTATGTTTAAACTAGACGAAAACCCTGATGGGAGAAGTCATGAAAGAGGCTGCGTTCTCGCTTGCAGAAGCGAAATTCGCTTGCGGGGACATCAACCAAGTAGTGCTTCAAAACGTCACAAAGGCGCAGATCAAAATAAGGACCAAGAAAGATAACGTAGCCGGTAAATTATAAAAACACCAATTTAAAAAAAAAATAATTCCATTATATTTACTGGTCTATTGACCAAATCACTTCTTTCAATTATTTAATCTTTTTATGTAAGGTTTTGCTTGAAATGAAAAAGGTAGCGCCATGAGCGGGATTCAAACCCACTCCCTTCGGCTAAATACAACACTGCTCTACCACTTGAGCTATCATGATTTCGATCAGATTCCGAATGAATTGAAAAATGGCAAAAAGTAGGGAAAATTCGAAAGGTAGTAGGTTGAGATGGGGTGTCTGAGTGGATCAAAGTCACAATAGTTCAAGTGGTAGAGCAGCGGCGTATTTAGCCAAAGGTTGTGGGTTCGAATCCCGCTCATAGCACTGACTTTTTCATTTCAACCAAAACCTTACATAAAAAGATTAATTAATTGGAATAATAATAACAATTTTCAGGAGTCACACTTCCTGTATTTGAAAGCTATCAGGACGGTGCGGATAATTATGAGTTCGCCGGGCTTGCGAGGGGCGGGCAGCAAGTGGCCAAGTTGAAAAAGAACTATCAGTCTGCGATTAAGCTTCTCGTCGAGTTGGCTTCATTGCAGACTTCTTTCGTCACTCTCGACGAAGTGATCAAGTTGACCAACAGGCGTGTCAACGCTATCGAGCATGGCAAGTACAGAATACAAAAACACACCGAACTCTTAATCAATATCAACTTTCTTTACAGTCATTATTCCAAGAATTGAAAGAACGCTTGCGTACATCATTTCGGAGTTGGACGAGTTGGAAAGAGAAGAGTTTTATAGGTATGGTAAATTTCTATTCATACGATAGCACTGAATTAATCATTTTTCCTCCTCCCCAAGGCTAAAAAAGATTCAAGACAAGAAGCGAATAGCTAGAGCTAAAGCTGAACTCGCAAAGGGATTACGGCAGCACAGGGAAGCTGAAGCTGCCAATATCCTCGAAGAAAGAGACGAAGATTTACTGTTTTAAATGAGAAATTTTATCGATTTTATTTTGTTTCAAACATCAACGGGACAGGAACGAAAACATTCCAAGATATATTTGTGCAGTCGTTAGTGTTGTGGTAGTTTTATCAAATTAGATTTAAAAGAAAAAATGTATTAAGGAATTTATAAATAATAGTTCAATATTGAAAAAAAGAAAAAAAATAACAAAAAATGTATGTAAATAATAGTCTCCTCAACCCTATGTTATGTTGAATTTTTCTTTTGTATAAGTTTTAGTTGCAAATACTTTATGTTATAAATATTTTATTGGTTTGGGTTATGGTATTTAATTTAAATTCAAATCTTATAGGTATAATGTAATAGGTCATGGTTATTTCATGCCATAAATGAATTGTGAAATATAACTTGTTGTGGCAGTGAAAATTTTCTGACTGCAAACATCCACTCACTTATTCTTTTTGAAAGCTATCACTTTTGCTAAGTATTCTGATTAATAAAAAGTCTGTAATATAAATATGGATGTATAATTGTACATACTGTAATGATTTGGAAAATATTATATTGTTTATAGAGTGATATAAAATTCTATAATACATTATTGTGTTAAACATTGCACAGAATTTTTTTTTAAATTCACCCTTCCTTATCCATATGAGTTTTGTTTAAATCAAATATTTCATCCTGCAGAACTGAGACTACACTGACCAAGACCATTAAGATCCAATTCTTACGTCTATTTTTAAAAAAATTAAATCTTTTTTACGAGGGTATTTCAACAACTATGAAGTTATATGAACCCTCAGGATGCTGGTGTTTTTTTTCACAAAAAGCTCATTTGTAAGTATGTCAGGTTAGAATGCAGCCCCGCTGGATTCGAATCTCGAACCTTTACCATATAGCGATGGTATGATTCAAGAAAACCACCATATCTGTCTCAAAAAATAATGTTTAGCACTGATTCGGACAAGGCAGCTTAGGATGAGATATCCCAACCTCCAGTGTAACTACTACGATCCAGCCCATTGATGCTAAAATGTATTAAATGGATGTGGCAGGGTAGGTAGGCTGGATTGGAAGAGAAGCTTTCATAGAAATTATAAATGATGGGGTGAGTGTGGAGTTCAATCCTTTTTAAAAAAAGATGGTTCCTACTCACATTAAGTACTTAATGTGAGTAGGAACCATCTTTTTTAAAAAGGAGAAGCATTCATGTATCAAGCCATTGATGATGACCTGTAGAAGAAGGGTCCTCCTCACCCGATTAAGGATAGGCCTTGCGAGATTGATACATGGTTTCAATGTGTTCTAATTGAAGGGCACATTTCCTTGTTTCTACATAAAGAGGGATGCCACTCAATACGAAAATTGTGCTTGAACACAGCAAGCCTGGTTTACAGTTCTGATTCTTGGAGGACTGTTTTACTGAATATAGTGCCGATATTGTTGTGTATCTTAGTGTGTAGAGAGTGAATTTTTATTAGTGAATTTATTTTGAATTTTATTAGTGTGAATGTGTAGGTTGATAGCGTGATATTGGGTACTTCATCAACCCTCATTAAGATTAGTTATAGTATATGTGTAAAGGGTGATGGTTGAATATTGAATATTCCTCCAGCCTAATTGAGTGAATAGTTTGTAAATAGGAAATAATGTATTTAAGAATGAATGAGAATGTGACGGTTTGGAGAAACTGATTGCGTTGGGAGGTGTAATGATTACCGGAACCCAACCTCAGTGGCTGGTTTGGTCTGACCCCGGACTGCCAACACCCGGGGTGGGTGATTCCGCAGCCTCCTGGAAATTCGTGGTAAAGCACAAAAGCAAGAAATGTCGGTAGACTGTAAGACCTGATAGGCTCAACTATGTACATATGTGTATATATAATCATCCCTAACCTATATATTTATATGTGCAGATTTGAGCTTATAAAATCATTAATCAATCAGTAGCACTTACTTTAACTTAATGCTCGAGCAGAAAAGCTCTGTTCAAAAGAACAATCGCCATGACAAGTTTAATTGGCTACTTTAATTGCTAATACAAATAATAAGATGACGTTTGCGTCATGGTGGCAACATAACCCCATTGATAAATTTCCAGATCATCCAAACTGCTTGTTCTCAACTGCTTGTTGAGTTTGGACAAATGGACAGAGAGGCTATCTGACAAAGGCGAGATGATTAATCCTCCCCAAGTTCACATTCCCACATTGAGACGATTCAGTCATTTTTTAGAAGTAGTCAATAGGCAATTTACAGCAGTTACAACAATAAAAAATAAATTAAATAAAAAAACTTGCAAGACATATTATATTGTTTTAATAAGAAATACTTGCTTAATTTTTAAGGTGGTGCACGGATGGATATACATATTCTCAGAAGCCAAGCAGCACTGAAGACTCCTCCATCTTCAAAGCCAGTCTGGGAATGCCTAATATATCTTCAGCTTCTAGAACTGCAAATGGAAAAACACTGGATGAATTCATCAACAAAGTTTCTCAACTTCTCAACCAAAAAAAAAAAAAATTGTATCTCTCAGCAAGTTGAAATTAATATAAATGAGAGAACCTGATACAGAAACCTGCTGTCTCTTGTCATGAAAAAACATTTTTACAATTATTTATATACTTATATTTATATAATGTATATTTATATACTTATTTTCATTAAAAAAATGTCAAATATTTTTATGACAATAATATTTCATATTTTGATTTGTAAAGCATTAACCACCCATATGTTTGTATAAATAAATAATTAATTAAGGATAATCCCTTTTTCTTTCTTTGTTGCAAAACCCTAAGCTAAATGTGTACATTCTTTGAAAAGGAGCATTGAGGTTTTTAGGCTATGACCAACTGGCAAGCATTTTAATTTGACATTGACACATTTTGCCAAGAATGGTGATTTATGGCCAAATGATGAGATGATGCCAGTAATGAAAATAGTAAATGCTTTTTACATTTTCAAAAGTTTTATATTGGCAATATTTTAATTATTTATTTTATATGTGCAATATGTATTAAGTGAGATTCCATGAAATTGTAATAAACACATACACAGAATCAACATTTATTCATTAATTTATTAACAGGAAGTGTTAATGTGAGAAAGAGAGTAAGTGTGTGAGTGAGAGAGAGAGTGTGTGGAAGAGAAAAGAGAGAGAGAAAAAGTGAGTGAGGGAGAAAAAGAAGAAAGAGAGGATGAGTGAGTGACAGAAAAAAATAGGAGTGAGGAGGGAGTGAGATAAATAAGAGAGAGAGAGAGAGAGAGAGAGAGAGAGAGAGAGAGAGAGAGTGAGGGTGGAAAAGAAGAGAGAGGGAATCAGTGAATGAGAATAGGAGTGAGTGAGTGAGAGAGGGAAAGTGAGAAAGAGTGAGTGAGAGAGAGTGAGAATGAAAGTGAGAGAGAGTGAGAATGAAAGTGAGAGAGAGTGAAAGTGAGAGAGAGAGAGTGAAAGTGAGAGAGAGTGTGAGAGAGAGAGAGTGAGTGAGAGAGTGTGTGAGAGAGAAAGAGCGAAAGAAACAGAAGCAATAGATGGCTTGTTAGCAATATAGAGACAGGTATAAAAACAGATGAGATAAATGTGAGAGAGAGAGAGAGAGAGAGAGAGTGAGAGAGAGTGAGAGAGAGAGTTTGAGGGGGGAGGAGGAAGAGAGAGTGAATGAGTGAGCGAGAAAAAAGAAGAGAGAGAGGGTTTGAGAGAGATGGACAGGGAGAGAAAGAGAAGACAAAGAGAAGTCAGTAAATGCCATCAACTGACGACTTCTCGGGGAAGGAGTTTAAAACGTATTTCTGAAAAAGAAAATGGATTGTAGAAGTAGATTTTCCTCAAATGAAATCATGTTGCTGTTTTATTAATGTGTTTTGAAATGTGGGTGCTAGTGTAATAATATATTAAGGGACGGAAATAATTTAGAGATGGAAGATTGTACAGTAACAATAAAAAGTAAAGTAGTAATATAATTATAGATAGATCGGTGTGTACAGTGATTTGGCATCATTTAGACTGTTTAAGATAATTAAATGTATCATATGATCAAATTAATGCCGTTCTGGTTAGAGGTCACAGGCAAAACTCCAGTGAGTCAATATAAATTTATGAAGTGTAAGAAGATTATTAACCGGACCTGGTGAATGCATACGCGGGTGTTTAATTGATATGTTGATAAATCTGGGCGATCGTCCTGCATTTGTGTTACAATGAAATGTTTTGATTTAAAGCGGCCTGCGGCTGCGATTCGACTGGGGGTGCCGACGAAGTGGGGATAGAGACGGGTCCGTCGTTGAGGGAGAACCAGAGCTGTTAGTAGTTTAGACTTTAGTACTTTAGTAGCAAAGATTAGTCAGTTTGTTTTAGACCTCGATCTCCGTCCTGCGGATGTATTTCAAAGTTCAAACGTTATAATTAAATTGTTCGAAATAGATCCGAGCCGTGTCTGCGCGGAGCCGGTGTCGTCGGGCCGTAGTGATGTCCGTCTCTGTCCAGAACGAAGTCGACAGGTTCGGAATTAGCTAATCCTCGGAGTTCGAGAGTCCTTTCTTTTTACGGAGGTCGGGACCCTCGCCTTTGACCCTGCCAACAAGGCCATGAACCGTTACGGAGATCATAATACTCACAAAAATAAGCATTTTTCTTACGAGGGTCGCCGGCTATAGTTCGCTTCCTGAGGGAGGACAGAGATCTAAGATGAGGAGATATCGCGATTTACGTCCGTTGATAAGCCTAAATGTTAGACCGGAATATCCGAAAGCGGATGCGTTGGATATCATTTTCTAAATGTTAAATTGTCTTGGCCAATGGCAAATTCGTCCAAACAACCTTATGAAAATTTATCTAAAAATTCATTAGCCGATATGTCTAGGAAGACAAAGTTGTATTTGTGCTTAGGTTTGACCGTAGTCGGATGTCTTTTTTATGCCACCTTGAGCGGCCACTCAGGTGAGTCTGGGTACCTATTTTAAATTACAAATAATATTATAAAAAAAAAAAAAGCCAATAATGTTTTTAAATATTCTAGATCAATTCGTTGCAATGAAACAGTCAATGGATGAGTATGAAATCTTGGTAAGTAGTTTTATGCTTTTTGTAGAAATTGTAAGATTTCTAACATTATTCAATCCTCAAAAACTAAGACATGAAATGTAGAACTGCCTGGTTGGCAAAACTTACAAATTATTAGACATGGAGGGATTTTAATGGAATTAAAATTATATATAAAACAATATACATATTGCAATTCCAGCTTGAAGAGAAATATAAAGTATGCAATGAATATCGTTTCATTTTTTGATAATTTTTATTGAAATGCCTGCTTTAGAATTTCTTATGTCATTCCTCCAAAAATAAAAGGCATGGTGACGTTTCAAACTGCCTGGCCGGCAAAACTTTCAGATTGGCATTCATTTGCAGAAATTGGATGGATTTTTAATTAAATTAAAATTATTCATAAAACAACAGAAACAATATACATATTTCGATTCCAGCTTGAACGGAAATGTAAAGTATGCAATGAATATCTTCATTTTTTATAACTTTGATTGAAATGCTTGCTTTAGGATTTTGTTACATCATTCCCCTGAAAACAAGACACAACATTTCCAACTCCCTGGCTGGCAAAACATTCAGATTGGCATTCATTTGCAGAAATTGGATGGATTTTTAATCAAATTAAAATTATTCATAAAACAACAGAAACAATATACATATTTCAATTCCAGCTTAAACAGAAATATAAATTATGCAATAAATATCATTTCATTTTTTTATAACTTTTATTGAAATGCTTGCTTTAGGATTTTGTTACATCATTCCCCTAAAAACAAGACACAACATTTCAAACTCCCTGGCTGGCAAAACATTCAGATTGGCATTCATTTGCAGAAATTGGATGGAGTTTTGATTAAATTAAAATTATTTATAAAACAATAGAAACAATATACATATTTCAATTCCAGCTTGAACAGAAATGTAAAGTATGCAATGAATATCTTCATTTTTTACTACTTTTATTGAAATGCTTGCTTTAGGATTTTGTTACATCATTCCCCTGAAAACAAGACACAACATTTCAAACTCCCTGGCTGGCAAAACTTTCAGATTATTAGACCTGGATGGATTTTTAATGAAATTAAATTTATTTATGAAACTTTAGAAACAATATACATATTGCAATTCCACCTTGAGCAGAAATATAAAGTAAGCAACAAAAATCTTTTCATTTTTTTAAAATAAAAACAAACATTAAATAAGATACATGCAGTTTCACACTACCAAGCATGCAGAACTGTCAGATTATTTTGGGCTTTGATGGGTATTAAATGAAATTCAAATTAAATATACATTTTTCTTTGGCTGTTATATGTTAAACATTTATATTTCATCACGAGATGAATAATCCTTAATTTTTGTTTTATTTCAAAAAGATTTTTTTGTAGCACCCCAACAAAACGAGTGTAATATCTTATTTTAAATACTTAAAATCTCATTAATATGACACAAATGGATGGTTGAATTTTCTATTTACAAAACTTTTGGGTTAACTATGGATTTTTTAATTTGATTTATTTTTAACGAGGGTTTGCTACAGCAGAGGTGTCAAACTCTTAGGGTGTTTATGTTTAAAAAAAAAATTATAGTATGCCGGGTTCGAATGCAGGGCCGCTGGATTCGAACCCGGGACCTTTATCTATAGTGATGAGTGTCATGTGATCACCTAAACCGTTGTGGCCACTGATGCCCCCACTATAGATTTAGATGGAAGCATCGACCTTTTCCCCATTATTTTACTCTATTCTAAAAATATTTGTTGTAGCACACCAGCAAATCAAGTTGGACATTTGCTTATTTTAAACAGTTAAAAATCTTGCTAAGATGACAAGGAAAGGCAGTTTGAATTTTCAAAGTTCAAAAGATTTTGATGTACTATGACTTTCACATGGTTTAATTGGATTTTTTTTAATGTATGAACACATGTTTTTAGATTACTCTAATGGGTTGGTTTTTATGTTAAATCAAACTAATACCTTAGTAATAATATGTACCTAAAAATCCAACCACAAAAAAAAATTTCCTATTATTTTGTTATAAAATGGATTTTAATTGGTTCATTTTTTAGTCCAAGTGTATTTTTTTCTAGTTCTTTATCATCATAAATCACAAAAAAAGAGGTTAAAATGAAGATAACTTTATTGTCTATTCAAATATAAGATACTTTTATGCCATTTTTAACAATCTTTTCTCCACGCCTAAATCCTTTGTTTACAGACCAGTTAAAAGTTGACAGTTTTACTAACTTTTTTTAAACATTTTTTAAAGTGTATTTTTCCCCGTATTCCATGTCAGATTAGCGTATAATTTTAATTACTGGATTAGGTTTTGATTTTTCAAATCAAACCTAAAGCCATAGCTTTCCTATTTGGCAGAAAATTATCTAATAAAAATGTTTTCTGATAATTTATTAAAAATACATATTTTTATTTTTTATGATAGCCAATTTTGTCGCATCATTTTGTTAATAAACTTCACTTATATTGTTTTTTTATATCGCAAGATTTTGGAGTGTGTTGTATACTCCTGTAGAAATCGAGAAAAAAAATTTGAGAATAATTGTGGGTACAGTTTAAATTTTTTAAAGTAGCCTATTTGATGGTTTTTTTTTAAATACTGCCATACTATACTGATTAGTCTTAATTATTGAAACATCCATTAAATAAACATAGTTGTCAATAATTTGTTAAAGTCGTGAGGAGTGATCAAGAATGAGGTTGTTTAGAAAAACATCTTTTTCATTTGTTTTTTACCTATGTTTCGACCTTTATTTGGGTCATCTTTACAAATTACAAAACATATGTTAATTGAAAAAAAAACAAACTTAAATTGTATTTTTTTCAATCAACATATGTTTTGTAATTTACCCAGGCCTGAAGATGACCCGAATAAAGGTCAGAACGTCTGCAAAAAAATGAAAAAGGTGTTTTTCTAAACTACCTCACTCTTGACTGCTGCTTACGACTTTAACAAATTATGAAACAGGTCACTAAGAAACACACATAGTTGTCAATAATTAATCAGAAATTGTGAGATGCGTTCTGGTGTGATGTAGGTTTCAGAAAAACATTTTCTTTATTGTGCCAACATTTCGATCTTTATTGAGATCATTTTCAGGGCTCAAAGTGTTTGTTTTCTGCGCAAGTGTGCCATTCTTGCGTGTTGTGTTGAGAGTGCCCATTTTTCTGAAACCTACATCACACCAGACTGCATCTCATGATTTCTGAATAATTATCGACTAACGGTCACTAATCACCATACATAGTTGTAAATTAAAAAGGTTTTATTTTATCTACGTATTAAAAAAATACGCATTTTCTTATTTTTTCTAGCTTAGAGAAACTAGAGAGCAGATATTAGATAGACTGAAGATGTGCCAGCAAGACTGTCAACATTGGGATCCGGACTTGCCAATAATCTATGTCATAACTCCAACTTATAGTCGCCCAGTACAGAAAGCAGAATTAACAAGGTCGGTGGTGATAAGAATAGCCCCAACGTTATATTACAATTATTACATAACAGGGTAATGGGTTGAATTTAACGTGAAATTATTTTTCATTATAGTTGTACATATCGTTTCAGTTTTTTTCTGGATAAATAAAAAATGGTCGACAAGTTTGATCGTAAAAATTAATCCCTCTTAGAGATTTTTTAATTAAGCATCCCAGTGTATATAATGAGAAAATATATCCAGAAATCAAGAGATCAATATTTTTTTTTTCTTAAACAATATAATCTTTTGAAGGTTGGCCATCCAAAATTAGCTATGCACAATTAAAGTAATTGGTCACACAGTTTTTAAATAAGTAAATTCCCATGTGAAGGAGAAGAAAAAATCTGTTTCTTTGTTAAGTTTATAAATTAACCCTAATAAGTAAATTAGTAAAATAAATGAAAATATATTTAAATTCTGTATATATAATTGCCTGCAATGTAAATAAATTGGAATCGATTTGTGCCTTGTGCTAACAAGAGTTAAAAAGATGGAGCACACGAGTTAATATGTTAGACCTTCAAAGCTTCAGTTGGCAATTTGGATGGAAAACTCACATTTAATTTTTCTCGCGTTTTCAATGCAGGTTCTTTTCCGAATTTCGGGTTAAAATATTTTAAATAAAACCATCTTACTGGTAATTTTTTTAAACTAAAAACATTTTCAAATATTACAAATGGGACGAATTAATTGGAGATTAAACCGATTGCCATTTTTATTTTTAGCCTATGTGCTTTTCCCCTCATTTGATGACAAAAGATTTTAGAAAGTCATTTAACATTAGAGGTCATCGGTGACTCAAACAGTGTCAAGGCCGGTCAGATGCTTAATCATCTTGATGCACATCACACAAATAAATTTAAAAAATATATTAAAAAAGAAAAGTTTATTGTAATTTAATGAAATTGTGATGTAATTACATTTGATTTTCATTTCCTTTTCCCTAACCCAGACAACTGGACCTAAGAGAGTGCAACCAATTTAACTTAATTTAGCCATGGTGATCTGTGTACTAGATTGTGTACTAGATCAACTTATTATCTCTTGAAAAAAAGCCACAAACAAAATATAAAAAGATAATAAATTTAAGCAATTTCTAAGTGGTATAATGCATGTAATATATTTCCAAGGCTAGTGCAATGACTTTTTTTTTGTAAAGAGACAGTAATTTAACAATTCGCCGGTTTATTAGCCAGGCGTTCTGCATTGCCATTGTAACAAGCTAGAGACGGATTAAAATTCAAATCAGAACATTTTCCAATTAAAGGCAACAATTTCCGTATAAGAATTATTCGTTTAGTTGGCCAAAAGATGGCCTCGAATTTCTTATTCCATTTCTTCAATTAACAAATTTTTTTTTTCAGATTTTCTCAAACTTTAATGCTCGTCAGCAACATCCATTGGATTATTGTTGAAGATTCACAAAAGAAAACCCTACTCGTTGAGAACTTTTTAGCAAGGTCTTCATTGAATTATACCCACTTATTTGAACAGACTCCTCCATTCTACCAACGCAAGGGAGCTGTGAGTAATCATTAAAAACATTTCTTTGAATTGAATTAAAAATAATAATAATAAGAAGTTACTTATTCGTTCAAAATTGTACAAATATATTTTACATGTAAAAAAAATTGCCCATTGAAAATAATTTAGCCGAAGGTCTTGGGTTCAAATCCCACTCACGACACTTACTTTTTCGTTTCAACCAATACCTTACATATAGATTAATTAATTGAAAGAAGTTATTTGGTCAGTTAGACCACGAAATATAATGGATTGAAAATTATTACAAACCTTTTTAACATTTTAACACACCTATTTAAACATTTTTTAAAATATTCTTTTCTATTCCTGTCTTGTTCAGAAGAATTTTGAGTTTTATGTGGGTAATTACACTAATGGGACATACTGGTCTGAGTTTGAGCGTCCAATTATCACATTGACCATTTCAGCAGGCCTGGGTTCAGTTCTCTGCATAGCCCTTTTGAGAATTGTTAAAAAAATTCTGATCATTTTGTGACTGAAGACAAAATTTTTGTATGAATTTGAAAAAAAAAAAGTTGGCATGTAGGTAAAGAACTGAAAATTGGTGTGTAAAAATCAAATAAAAACAGAATGTGTTGAGGATTTATGATAAAAGCTCTCAGGGAGATAAAAAGATAAAATCGTAGAGTTTATTCACTTTACGCTATGCAAAGTTTGCAATGGTAATATAATATACGGTCACATAAAAATAAGAACAATTATTTAAACTAAAGATCCAATATAACTTCCAGTAAATTCCAGTCAGGATTTATTGTACAGATTACTAAAAAGATGACAGTTTGACTTGGGAGCTCGGCTGATTGCTCAGCTAAAGTGGCCAGTCAAACATGATTAAATTGAGTTTTAAATAAACAGATAACGAATTTGTTTTTTTGACTTGAGTAATGCAAAAGTTGTGAAGTTACAAAGTCAATAACAACATTGATAAGACAGCACAAGTGATAGGATGAGTAAGTGATCGATGGCTAAAGATTAAACACTTCACAAAAAGAAAAAACGTAGCCCAAACTGTCAGATTTTATTTGAACCTTGAAAAGAAAAAGAGTAGTTTAAAGATAAATAAAATAAATAGCCTCGGATGTGAGGAGTATCAAGCGATTTTTGGGACTGATTTTAAGATGGTAAAACGCATTCCCCTGCCTATGTTCTCTGATGGTGTTCTTAAAGAGATTGAGATATTGTGTAGAATGGTTTTCCAGAAAAAATATTTTGTGACTGTACAAGGGAAGGAAAGTGGCTCAATGATGATAAGGACGGGAAAGGAAGCGTGTGGGAGGTGGCCATTACTACCAAGTGGCTGCTGTACATTGGATTCAACCTCAGCCCAGTAGATGCCATGAGTGTCCAGCTTGCAATGCTATGTGTTTGTAAGCTCGAACGAGATAACTAATCACAAGCCTTAAAAATGTTAAGGTGATATTATTGTTGAATACTTCTTGGAAGTCTTCAAATCTTCTTGCAGTAGTTAAAAACCTCAATGCAATGATCCTTTTATGTGGAGAAATGGCTGGTCTCATCACTTTATCATTATTTTTACAATCTTGATTTATAATACAAAATAGTGACCCATTGAAGCGTGTAAAAATATGTTCTTGGCCCAATGTTAAAAAATTAAGGAAGTATTTTGGGAAAACCTCCAGTTCTTTTAGAAGATTTTATTGGAATATTTATTTATTCAATTTTGGGTCTTTTAAAACCCAAAAAATTATTTAAAGAAAAAAATTTCTGGCTGATGTGTACTTTAACACTATCAAATTTAAAATATCATTGATTAGTGATAAGAACTGGAAGAAAATCTTGGAGGGAGTTGAGGGAATCCTCCAAGAAATCCTTGACGATTTCCCACATATAGGTACGTTTAAAGTATGCATTGGCTGTTAATCACTTCAAATTGTTGATTGGATTAAAATGTTGAAGTCTCTCAACATTTGACTTTTTTTTTAAAGAAAATTTCTCTAGTGTATAATATTTGCAAATCCGCAAATTACATCTTCTTTATACTTCAACAATAATAATTTTAGTTCAATTACAGGCAGAAAAGTTTGATTACAATATTATTTTTATGAACTTGCCTTTTTGGTTTTATTTTTATTTTTATTTATATTTCAGGTATTTATTAAAAGAGTTGGTTGGTAAATAGAAAATAAAAATACCCCCTCTCTCTTAAAAAAAATTAAAAATAAAACATTATAAAACAAAAAGTTTATGAACTTGTTCTTATTGCACACTCTGATCTTCTCATGCTCATAATTAAGCTTAACATTTCTTGAAGAATTTCATCCCACATCTCAACTAATGTATGATTATTTAAATGATGGAGATTTTGAATCAAATTAGGAATTAAGTGGTTTTGCCTTTTCATCATTTTTAAAGTAGTAAAACAAAAAATAGGGCCAAAACATTGTTAAATTTAAAAAAAATTAATCAAAATTTCAGTGTGCCATTTTTTGTGGATTAGTGTTTTATTATCTTATTTAGGGTTTTTTAATTTAATAAAATATTTAAAAATAACGGAAATAAATTCCAAATTTCCGCCTCCCTGCAAAGAAATCCCCATCCATCAATTTGGTTTTACATCCCTCCATTCTGCTGTCGAGCAGGGTTTACAAGTAGTTGACACATTAACTTCTGCCCTAGAAAATAAACATTAAAAAATTAGTAAGCAGTTTTTCTAGATGCCACGGAGGCATTTAACAGAGTTTGGCACCCCGGCCGGCCTCCTTTTCAAATTAAAATTCCTTCCTCTCAGATAACTGGGTGAGGGTGAGAATTGGCACTGAATTTTCGGACAAGGCCGATTCCTCAACCGATTATCTCAAATACCAATCCTCTCCTCACACACTGACCCTGTGATCACCCAACCTCATTACAGACTGGTTCACTCAGTAGTGCATTCAGCTAAATGAACAAAAGGGCTGTCATGTGAGGTTTAAACTTAGAAGTCCACCAGTGCACATATACAGTAAAGAAATCCCTTCATCCAACCAAATCCACTACAACCCCCCACTAATCCCCTCTACCTTAGCTTCACTTGGACAGCATACATACATGGGACTCGCACATTAAACAGAAAAGACAAGAACTCAACTGAAGATACAGATAACTCAAACGCCTCCTACTTGGACCTAAATCCGCTCAATAAATTAACAATGTCAAGACACTTATTAGATCAATTTGGATCTACAGAGTCAGGTCTATGGTGTTCAGCCAAGCCATCCAACAACCAAAAAATCAATCCATTGAATTAAAAGTCCTCACTGAAGAAGGTGCAATGCCTAAACGTGTTTGAATAACTGGACAAAAAGCCCGCGAGTGAAGACAGACCCAGTAAATGGCCATGTACCAGTTCAACATATAAAGCCTCCGTCGCATCCTCTACGTCACTAACCAAGCCGTTCACCAAGACCTAGAAATCCCCCGGATATAATTTTAGCATGCACTAGGCCAAGCCTTTCTTCTCAACATCCCACACAAACAGTCATCCAAACCGCCCAAGTGCCCAATAAACCAGCAGTTAAATACCGAGAATTCCAGCAATGGCTAGGTCCTCTACCCCCATCTCCGTGGTCTGACAAAATCCTGCCAGATCCTTATTTTATTGTTCATCGCTATCACATTGTTAAATTATCAATTTTGTACAGAAAGCAATGCATTTTGTATGAACATGAAATTGCAATATGTTCAGAATAACGCTAACGATATTAGAATCTAAAAATCTAATAAGAACATTTTTTGTAAACAGGCTAGAGGTGTAGTTCAAAGAAATGCAGCTTTAAGGTGGCTCAGGAAGAATCGAAGTTTGAATGACAAAGGTGTAGTCTATTTTGCAGACGATGACAATACTTATTCTATACAAGTGTTTAGAGAGGTAAAAATTAATTTAAACTTTTTTTTTGTCATTCATTGCTTTTTAAATATATATATTTTTTAAATTGTATTTTTTAGATGAGGTTTACAAAAGAAGTTAGCGTTTGGCCAGTTGGCCTGGCAGGTGGTTTAATGGTAGAAAGGCCATTGGTAAATATGACCACTGGTAAAGTTATTGGTTTTAACAGTGCGTGGAGGCCCGATAGGAAGTTTCCTATCGATATGGCCGGCTTCGCCATCAACCTTCAGCATCTTTTAAAAAAAACAACAGTATGTAAAGAATTTTTTACTTTATTAATGTGATTTTAACAAGATTTATTTGATTGCATAAAGCAGAATTCAATGAATATTCGGAGATCGTGAGATGTGGTCTGGTGTGACATAGGTTTTAGAAAAACATTTTCTTTATCGTGCCAACGTTTAGATCTTTATTGAGATCATCTCCAGGGTTTGGAACTTATAAACATTGTTTAAGTTTTACAAATGCATGTGGAAAAAATGAATTTACATGCTAGAAAATTTTAGATTAAAAAAAAATGAATTTATAGAATGCTAAAAAATTTTAGCTTAAAAAAAATGATTTATACAATTCTAGAAAATTTTAGCTTAAAAAAAATGAATTATACAATTCTAGAAAATTTTAGATTAAAAAAATGAATTTATACAATTCTAGAAAATTGTAGATTTAAAAAAAATGAATTTATACAATGCTAGAAAATTTTAGCTTAAAAAAAATGAATTATACAATTCTAGAAAATTTTAGATTGAATTTATACAATTCTAGAAAATTGTAGATTTAAAAAAAATGAATTTATACAATGCTAGAAAATTTTTTGATTAAAAAAAATAAAATTAATTATTATTTAATTAAAAATATTTCTAGCATTGTATAAATTCATTTTTTTTCATCTAAAATTTTCTAGCATTGTATAAATTCATTTTTTTTAATCTAAAACTTTCTAGCATTGTAAATTCATTTTTTCCACATTCTAAATTTAAACAGTGTTTATAAATCCCAGGCCCTGAAGATGATCTCACAGAATTCATTGTGTTTTTGAGCAAAAAATTACAGCTAGTAATTAATGACTTTAATTTGAAAAAGAAAAGAAAAAGAGATGACAAGTGTCTTATATATGCTGCGTAACAGAGGAACTATACACTCCATATGGGCGCAGCCGCACCAAACCAGGCCAGAATCATGCGGTAGGCAACCATTGTTGCATCCACCATTTTTCTGACACTAGTTTAAGAGGATATGAGTGTATGCGCCGCCACCCAAATCCCGAACAGATGGGGTTTAAAAATGCAAAACCTCATGTACCCCGCCCAATCCCCGTCTAAATCCAGCACGCCACAACCCCCAGCACGACCCAATATATATAGTTTAAAATAATAAAATATGAATGTCTGGTTTCTTGTGTGTATATTATTACCATAAGGGATAATAAAAACGTAAAATACTTGTGATTTGTTTAACTCTGTCGGTCTAAGTCATTCTTAAATTAAAATACACGATATATTCTCCTTCCAGTAGGATAAATTGCACAAATAGCGTTGTAAAATATTTCTTCCATAATTGTTTCAGGCAGCGTTTACGTACAATGTGACAGCTGGTTTTCAAGAAACGTACATGCTTGAACAATTGACAACCAAAGATAGGTTAGAACCCAAGGCGGATAACTGTACCCAAGTCCTAGTCTGGCATACAAGAACTGAACGGGCCAGGCTGTCTGAAGAGGACAAACTTAAACGAACAAAGGGCATCCATTCAAATGGTGGCATTGAAGTATGAACATGATAAAGCTTATTGTTTTTTATTTATTATTGAAAAATAATTTTACTTTGACATGTGCAATATTCGAATACTGATATCAACACATCGGTTAATATTCAATTATGTTCTTTTTTTTTAAATAAAATTTATATGTAAATGTTACACATCTGTGAAATGTTAATCCAAAAAGAAATTGTTTATTTGAATCTCTTTTTTTTTTAAATGTTGTACAAACCAGGAAATGTATAAAGTATATTGTACATAATAAATTTATTATTACCTTTTTAATACGGTGACATAAATTACACTTGTAGAAATAATGGAAATCATTTTCAGTAATTACGTTGAATATATTTTATATGACTGCTTGCATAAGAATTGAAGTAATTGTTGATAGTATTTCTGCTCATTCTATATTCTCTACATCCTAAAAGATGTCGTTTTGTAAAAATAAATGTCATATTTGCTTCTGTAAATAATTTTAATGGTTAATTAGTTTATCCTCTTATGATATTCCTTCCATGTTAACATGCTACGATTTATTGTTAGTATATTTCTAAAATAAAATTATTTCAAAATTTACCATTGTAAATCAAAATTCAGTTTTCTTAGGAGTGGTTTAGTTTCTTTCCAAAATTATAAAAAGCATATTCCTCAATTAATTATTTTAGTGACCTCAACCATTAAATGGAATTTGTTGTCAGTTAAAAGTGCTCAAGTATTTTTAGATATGTGCCTTTCGATAGGATAATTTTAGTATTCTAGTCTAGAATATATAATATTTATTACTTGATATTTATTGTCGAGAGAAAAATAATTGATAAGAATACTTTTAACAGTGCTTACTGCATTTGTAATCTCGCTGTCAAGTTATGGCTGTAATAAACTCTTTTAAAGCTTGCCATTGATTTTTTTTCCCTCTAGGTTTCTTTATTAATTTTACTTTTTGAAAAGTAAAGTTTTGAACCTTAAAATGTGCCTAGTTAAAAGATTCATTTGTTCTATTGACAAAGTTTGACAACATGTGTTCACAGTTTGGAAGTTTTAAAGTGGTAGATGAATACAAAATATTTTTTAGAATAATTTCATAATTTGCACTTTGTCAATTTAAAATACGTGACCAAAATGACAAATATTGTTTGCACAATGCACGTTTATTAAAACATGTGGAATTCATCATAAAACCCACAACTATAGTATTGGCCATCTGGCATTTTGTTTTGTTTAAAAAAAAATTCTTATTTGATGTACAAACTGCTAAATTTAAAGTTATAAAATGGATGACGAATTCTGTGAAGAACCTGAACCACCTCCCTTTCAAGGAGATGGCAAGAGACGGGTCAAACCCGACATAAAACCACCTCCGAAGAAGGGCACCGACATAACCATCTCAGAAAATGCTAAAAAAAAAATCACCGGCTTACCTAAGAAGTCCCGATTGACAGAACTAGAAGAGGAAATGCGAGACAAAGAGAGACAGGTGGAAGAAGAGCACACGAGAAATTGGTATTTGGGCGATGATTACTTAGACGAGCTACAACATCGGCTGGAAACTAGCTTTCGTGTTTCACCTCCTGATCCATATGTACACAATGTTGTAAGTTGACTTTTTCAACATATCGATTTCAGAATTTTCACAAAATTCTAGATCAAAGACAGAATTTCTATCTTTTGTTGTTTTGTTTTACTGTTTGTTGATATAATGGTAATGTTTAGTACAAGTGCTACGAACAAAACAGGGAAGATCCGATGAAGTGCAGGGACACTGGCCATATGTTGAGAAAGGCAGTAGAAGAAAAGCAGTTAAGATTTATTGAAAAAGCACGTAAAATTGTAGTAGAAGAAAAGGCCAAGAAGACTAAATAATTATTATAAAGGGTTGTATTTTAAAATTAAATGTGGACCATTTTTTGAATGGTAGGAGTTTTCTGTTCAATATAAACATATGTAAAGTAATTTTTTTATTTTTTATTTCAGTTAATAATTTGCAAACAACCATTTAGACGGTTAATATCGTATATTTTGTTAAATGACAGAGAAAAATTAAACTACAGACATTTTTGATTTATTCCATCATATAGAAAGGAATTTCAGTTTTGTCAGCTTATCGGTTGGAATGGAAAAAGTTTTTATTGCTCTGTTCACATCGCCTGATGGATCTAGATTCGGCTGAAATGCAACAGTTTATTTTTTTAGAAAAAAAAAGTTGATGAAAAGGACAACATTGTAACTTACTTCATGGTTTTTCGTGTCAGGGTCTCCCATGAGAATTAGATTCTTGAAATATTGAGACGAGCGAGTGGGGAGCAGAACCAAAGAAGGTCTTGTTTCTTCCTGCAAGCAAGTACAAATAAAATAAGACAAAAGTAAATCAAAAATTTACATCTTTCTTTTTCAATACAGATTTTGGTTCTTCTTTTTGCTGAGCTTCCTTTTCTAGTGTTGAACTCAATTGAGGAGTCTGTAAATTGAGTGGTAGATCAAACTCGCTTCTAAGCAAATTCCGAACAAAATTAGATCCCAGCTTTTTGAAATCGGTACTGCATTTCTTTTGATTAGTCGTATTGCTGTAGACACATTTTTGCGAATGTTCATTTTCATTTGAATTCTGTAAGTCTTTGCTTTCAGCTTTTGATTTGAAAATGTATGTTGGACTTGTGACACTTGCACCGGATCCCATTGTGTCTAAAATGAAATTGTAATACGTGTGTTAATCATACCAAAGAATGATCTACATATTGTTTTTGTTTCTTTTTCATTTTTTTTAAATGTATGTATATAAGATATATTAATAAATACAAATGTTAAGCAAGTTTTTTTTTATGAGATTAAGTTTTAAAAAATATTGTATTTTTTATCTTGCTATTATGCATACAAAATCCACCTACATTGTTAGTGTATACATAGGTGTGTGTGTATGGTCGAGATTGATTTGAAGATAATTGTCATAGGAAGTTCCCCATCGCTCTCAGCACTCCATCTTTATTTACATGCTTTGAAATAAATTTTTTATTGAGTTTGACTCACCACTCATCATTTCAAAAAAGGTATCTGAGAACTTAAGACTTCTGACATCCATTCTGTAATTAACCAAAAAAAAGGGCACTAACAAAAATTTAGCCAAGAAATAAGGGAAAACTAAGTTTAAAAAAATGTTACACTGAAATAATTATTGCATCTGATTTATATTAAATAATATGTTTATTAATATTTTTTAAATTTTATGTTATACTGTGCAAAATACATTTTTTCTCCAAGGTGTTATTGAAAAAAAAAAAAAAAAAAAAAAAAAGTTAAAATGAGATTTTATTTACATATGATTTGGATTGTTGTATTATCCAATAAGTGGATAATTTTTTTTTTTAATTAAAGATATTTATTTTATTTATTGCTATCTGTACATAATATACATTGAGGAAATAGTTAGTTATAAACAAACCTGTCAGACCAGGAGGCAGTGGGGTTTTCGTTTGTGCCCTTTTTTTTGGTTAAGTACAGAATGGATGTCAGAAGTGACGTTCTCAAAAAAGTAAGAAGTAAGAAAACTAAAACCAACTTTTATTTAATTGGGGGAGGGGAGGTAAAGTTAATTCGGTGGGTTAGATAGAAGGTCATGAGGCCATTGTCGTTTTAAACGGTGTGGAGTATTGTAAGGGTGAGATGTTGAGGAAAGAGTTAGGGCTAGAGAGTTAAAGTGGAGGGAAGTTAGAGTGAAAAGTGAAGAAGCGTGTTCGGATAAGATCTTTCACGAAAGGGATTTTAAGATCTTTATGGATCGTTTGATTGGTGACATAGAAGGGAGCATTGCGGATATGGCGGAGAACTTTAAATTGAAAAGACTGAATTCGTTGGATATTGGATGGTTTAGCCGAGCTCCACAGCTCGACTCCGTAGGTCCAAATAGGTCTGATGAGTGTTTTGTAAGCAGTTAGTTTGTTATGTATGCTTAGTTTTGATTTTGGTCCAAGAAGGCGTCTGAGTAGTCCATATCTTTTGGTAAGTTCTTGCCGTTTTAATCGTGTATGTGGGTTCCAAGTAAGTTTACCATCTAAATTCTAAGTAAAGCCCAAGGTAACGGACTTGGTTCGATGGTGGTATTATTTTGTTGTAAATGTGCACTGGTGGACAAGTTTGTAGTTTGAGCGTAAATGTAACTTGTTGGCCTTTTTTGTTTGTTTAACCTGATCCGCCACAAATTGTACCAGTTGGTAATAAGGTTCAGGTGTTGTTGGATTGCTTCTGTGCTAGCATAGGATTAAAGTGTGTTGATAAGATTGTGGAGTCGTCCGCGTAGGTTGTGATTTGTGTGTTTGGATGTATGGGTATGTCAGCAGTGTAGATGGTGTAGAGGATTGGGCCTAGGATACTTCCTTGTGGAACGCCAGCTTTGATTGGTGTGATAGGTGAAAAATCGGTGCTGATTCTTACTTTAAACCATTGATCTGAGAGGAAGGATTTCACGATAAGGTAGTAGGAATGAGGGAGGATACATTTTAACTTGTAGAGGAGGCCGGGGTGCCATACTTGGTCAAATGCTTTCGTAATGTCCAGAAATACGGCTGAGCAGTATTGTTTGTTTTGACTACTCTGAAGCACTGCTGAACAGTGGAATGGAGAGGTCAAAATCCAAATTGATGGTTAGGAATTACATTTTCAGAGTCGAATATAGGAATTAGTCTTTTAAAGATTTTGGATAAAATAGGAAGGAGGCTTATTGGTCTATAAGAGGATGGGGCACTGGGGGATTTGTGTGGTTTTGGTATTTGAGTGGATAAAATATATAAATAGTTTTATCATATTTGGATATAGAAATTATAGTAATTCCTCTATATTCCCATAGTCTCTTCTTTTTCATTCCACTAGACGAAATAATCCAACTTTTATAAGGATTATTTTGTTTAATAATGTTTAAACATTTTAAACGGAACTTAGAGAAAATGGAAAATTTGTGGTTCATAGTTTCTACAAGATTTATTTATTTGCTAGCTTTATTATAACTCGGCATTGCACAGAGGGATAACAAAAAGTGTTATTTAACAAAGTATTTTGAGTATAAATATTGCTATTGCTATATAGGAGCATATACATAAATTAAATGAACACAATTGAAGGTTTGATATCAATGATTGTATTTAGTCATGATTGATGACATTGTTTTATCATATTTTGACAGCCAATCTGGTACCGTTTAAAGACGGGTTCAATGTTTCTAAGAAGAATGATAAGAACACCAACCTTCACATTAATGATGTTTGGTGATAATCCAGATTAAACAAATTTAAGAATTCAGTCACATAATTTACTACTTCATCTTGATCTATAAGAGTATCTGATTATTGATTTCATTGTTATCAGCATAAATAAAGTTGGCCCAAATTCTATTAATAAGTAATGGGAATGAACCAAAATAACCACCCAATCAAGAAATCTTGTACAACTCAACTTTCTAAATGAAAATGATAAAAACAAGCAGTATTGATGATGCAGCAAAAGTTCAGAAAAATCTTAGTGTTTTCTTTACTCATAAATAACAGATCTTTTCTTTAATGCACATTTTAATATAAAGTTTTTTCCCACTTGATCATGTATTATTATTATTTTCGTTATGATCATTATGATTGACTTTCATTGGTTTTGTTCATTCTAGACCTTTTAGTCTTCATTGTTTTGCCTTTGTGTTATTTAACTCTAAAATTTTACCATTATTTTTTTTTATGTGAAGTTATAATGGAAATCTTTTGGATTTAGCATTCTTTGCTTGTATCTTTTGTCAGCTTAATCTCTTTCTATATTTATTTGTTTTCTTTTTCAAACAAAGAGACCAATATACAGAACTAAAAAAAATAAATGCAGGAGTGTCACAATGTAGCATACTAGGTCCAATACTTAACTTGTTAAAACACTAGGTATTTTTTTGAAAATGGGTGGAATAAAAATTGCAACATTTGCACATAACGCAGCAGTGATATCAGTTGGACTGAGCATCAACTGTTCATCCAAAATCCTTTAAAAGGCATGCAACAAGATAAATAAATGGACAAAAATTGGAGAATGAGGTTCAATTAGGGATGGTTAGGGGGTCCTTCAATACTCCTCTCTCTTTCGCATTATCTTTCAGAATTGCAGGGTCAAGACTATGGACTATTCTGTATCCTTGCTAGCTTGTTTCAGATGTGTGGAATCTGAGTTTTAAAAATGACATGATTCCTTTTCTTTTGTAATGTGTTTTGTTTTTAATTAATTAATATTTTAAAGAAATATTTTGTCATTATTGTTTTATTGTATGTTTTATTATTATTATTATCATCGCTGTTTTTATTGTTTTAGTATGTTTACAAAACTAAATTTATTTCTAATATATGTACATGTAAGCCCTATTTGTACCTTTAAAATAAATAAGCGTAAATCTGTCCATATAAATTTTACAAACATAATATTGGACCAGCAATTCATCTAAATATCTGAGAATGACCTTAGATGCTAACTGAGATGGATAGAGCACAAGAAGTAAAAAGAGCAGAAACGGGTTTAAGGGAGGTAGACAACTATACTTGTTGAAAGGAAGTGGCTTCAGCTGTACTATACAAAATAAAATATTATTATACAAAAAAAGTCCTAAATCCCACATTTAGAACTTACAAAGGGATCTTAAGATTCCTGAGGGCACAGTGAAAATATAAAGGTTTGCAGCAAAACACCTCAGCGAATGTGGAAGTATATATAAATTACGCAGGGCGGGTGACCAAGACCTGAGGGGTTAAATGCCTGGGTAGACTCGTACCCCATCCAGGAAGGGTCTGGGACTTGGTTGGTTCATGTGTCCTGCATAAACCTCATGGATTTGTTCACAAATCCCAAGATTTTGGACCATTTTATCTCGGGGAGTAATTTGGTAATGTCCTCTCCTTCAATTGTTTCAAATCTATACCTGGCATACCTATCACACTCTGCGAGGTAGTGCCATGCCGTTTTTTCTTTTATTTCACAAAAATGGCAGAAGGGGTCTGGTAAAATACCCATTGCGAAGAGGTGTCTTCAAAGGGCAATGGCCTGTCAAGATACCTATCAGCCTCCTAATTCCCTTCCTTGAGTTAGAGAATAGCCATTTCGATTCTGTTGGTTTGATCTCCTTCACAAACTCCTTCGATTGCCTATGTCCGGGGGACAGATTCCATTCTTTAAGGAATTGTTTCATGCCCCAGCTATTGACACTCTCTTTCGCTGTGCTTATAGAGTGGGATAATATCGGTTGTGGCCCGACAAACGCAGTATTTGAGTCTTCTTTGGCCAGGCTATCCGCCTCTTCATTGCCATAGTGTCATTATGTGCTGGTATCCAAATGAGGGTTACCCTATTCTCATACCTAGAAGAATGTGGAAGTAAACGAACTCCTACAAAACCAAAACATCATTAGGTTTTTTTTCCTGTTTTTAATTTGTCCTACAGACATTCAATCAATGTCATTTTGTTGGTGACAACGCCGGCCAACCGACCCGGGCCACCTCCAAAGGGCACTACTCCATTCGCCCGCTTCTTATTCGGGTATACACTTAATTTCAGCAGCATTAGGAGGATGTGGATAAAAACCGTACATAGCAACAGAGGCCCCTGGAAATGTCCACATCCTCCCCGCTTCCCAGGGACCATTAGAAGTTTGAAAAGGAGAAAACTGCATGAACTAGTTAGTTAATAATTTGATAAATAGTAATGTGTAAAACTTCACAATTGTACTTTTATATACACTCTAAAGTGGCTATTTTGGAGCCCAAGTTTGGGGTTTCGAGGCTTATGAGGTATTTGAGAAAATCCACTATTTCTTTATAAAGAAAATCTCTTTGATTTATTAGTTAATAAAGTTTCCACAATAAAATAATAATATACAAAATTTAAGGTTATTTTGACTCGTTTAATATTCTTTTCCTTCAAAAATTGCACAATTTGTTGTAGCTGTGGGTAGTGGAAAATTGTGTTGTTTTTAAAGAAATATTTGGGAATGCGTAATTTTTTTAAATATTTTTATTGTTTGAAAGCTTAAAAGCGCAATTGAAGGGAAAGATGATGTTTTAAAAGACTTTTTATTTTAAATTTTTTTTTGCGTCGCAATGTTTGAACGGTGGCGCGTTTCTTTTGTTTAGGCGGCCGCGTGCTTCTGTTGCCAGGGAGCCTGGATAGAGGCGGACAAGAAACAGATCCAGAACCTTCTATCAAACACGCTTCTGATTTCGTTGAGAATCTCCGACTGTTCGAGATTTTTTTTTCAAGTCCGACCCGTTAAATCGGTGAATTTGTTTTCGCACTAATAATAAAACCCTCGGAAATGACTGAAGCAGCTTTCGACAATATGCTGCTCGCGATGGCACAACAACTGGAAGGAGGAGTTGGCGAGGTACTCTCAAAACGCTTTTTCATTCTCATACATTTTCACTTGCCGAGATCGCAGACCTTATCTTCCATGGTCGGCCCTTGAAAATTTCTCAATTTAAACATCCTCCGATGTCCATGTGAGAACTGTTTGAATCAAATAATATTTGAACATTTTCCAGGCGAAAATTTGAACAATTCAAGGACTGCTATGTCGGCAAGGTAAAGTTATATGTCATCCATGTCCATATCATGATTTAAACCATAAATGATAATTTCAACAATATAAGATTTCATGTCATGCTTTAATAAGTTTTAACTCATATATTCAAAAGATTCATGACAGTTTTTCCGTTCGTTATCACTGATACCAGGTCCTCCAGAATCCGGCCATTTTTAATGAAGTGGGGAAGGAAAACAAATTAATTAAAATTATATTTTATTAATTGTCATAATCAACATTGGCTTCACTATTCTCATCTGACGAAAAGCAAAAACAAAAAGCTTAATTTGGGAAGTGGTTTTTTTATAAAAGTGATAAATGAACATGTGGGTTATTTTACGCCTTGACAGAGTCTGGTTATAATATGAGTGTAACGAGTCTTATCGGCTGGAGGGCAACTGTGTCCTGTTGGCGGCACACATTCCGGGTCACTTTTTCTTAGACTGTATTGTACCACTGTAACATGACCATAACTTACATGGAAGGGAGGAGATATAGGCAGCCGCCATACTAGGCATGCCAATTGATGCCACTACTCCCGAATACAACTTCATCAACAAGTACAGTAGAATCTCATTAACTATGCTGTCATATACCTAGCCCCCCCCCCCCAAGTTGTGTTTTAGGGGAGAGTGGAATCGTGATAAATCACAGAAAAACAAATGCGTGTAATTTAATTCTTATTAAATACAAAAAAATTAAAACAAAACAAAAAATTTGAAATATGTGTACATAAGTTTATACATAACATTGATGATAGGCACACAGAAAGTGTCTGATTGGTATGCAAATGGAAGAAACTGCTTTGAAGCCTGAAATTCTAGTTGTTTCTTATCCTCTGTTCTCGTTATCCGTAGTGATGCTTGGTACGTATCCTTGCAGATAATACAAGCTCCCTCTGTATTTCTGCTGATCTCATTTGGGGTTGGAAAGTGTGGAATGGGGCCCTTGATATCCAAAACTTATATTTATCACTATGTGTGACTCAGCGACCATAAATTTCTTTGTCCCTCATTACAGAACAGAATATGGACTAAACTTCCTTCTACCGAGGATAATGGGATTGCTGACTTGTTATTCCAATGAAATAGATGCATTTCATGATTCCTTGCGCTCAGTTAAAGTTAAATTAAAACGTATACATGCCAGAAATCCTTAAACCACATGTTTTTGTTATTATTAATTATTCAGTTGTTTTCTTTTTGTTATTATGTCCTTTTTGACTACTCCTCTTGTAGATTCACTCTGAGTTATAAATAAATAAGTCTACTATTCTTGTACCAGAAGAGAGGGCCAAATGAATACTTCTGAAGGCCAATTCCTACTGGTATACTGATTTCTCTCGATAGAGGCACGGTAGCTTGAGTCCTAGGGGTGAATCCAAAGATTGAACTGACTTAAAACTTAGGTAGATGCGCTACTGTTTTCCAGTCAGAAATCGTAGCAATTGAACACTGTGCCAGAGGAATAAAAATACTAGGAACACATTCTAGGAAGATAGCTAGCTATTTGCTCTGACAGTCAGGTGGCACTAGGCTTTTTTTTTTTTTTTCAAAGGATACCAAAAACTGGAGGAGTTCCGTCCTGAGCACTGCAGCTGTACTTTATCCCTGGCTCCATTTTTTGAGGGCTCGCAAACACAAGTGTGAATTTGAGCCCCCGGTGTGTCGGTGTTCTTCCATCGAAGAAACTCATTTTTGAAGGGGGTTGTGACCAAATTCAGGGTTGCTAAGATCTGATCCTGCTCCTTCCATTGATGAGTGGCGTGTCAATTTCTTTGTCAAAAGTCCAGAGGTGACGGTGGGGATCGAACCCACGAGCGCGGGATCTACTAGCCAAGAGTCTGACACCTTAACCACTCGGCTACCGCGACCCCCGCACTTGGCCTTAGCCTCATGTGAGGTAATGGCTAAAAGTGTATGGAATTGTATGGAATCCATGGTAGAAGTCTGGCTCTGGCAGGTGTTCCTGGTTAAAAAAAGTAAGTAAGTAAAAAAAGTAAAAGAGTAAGTTAAAAAATTACTCTCATAAAATTAAAACTATTTTTAATAGAAATATAATGATTGTCCCCTAGTTCTTAATTCAGATCCCCATACAAACAAATGGAGAAGAGATTGTTGCGCTTTTTGCCTGTGACTATTTTTAAATTCTTGATCAACTTTTTCCAATATTTTTTTTTTTTAATTTAAATAATCAAAAGCTCCAAGCTGCACAAGTACTTTTATCAACTTTTTGTACCATAGTATATTGTTTTGAATTACCTCTCTGGATAAAATGTTTGGCAATCTAAAATCCCATAATGATAAATCTTTTCCAATGTAATTATAGCGCAAACGGAGAACATAAATAAAAATCAGAGCTAAGCCTTTCTCATGCATGCAGAGGGCTAGTGGCTTTCTAATATAATGTCTTGTTTCCCAAATTCTTCTCTTCAGTTCACTTTGGTCTATACACGGTAAAAATGGTCCATATGATCCCCTTAGGGATGGAATTGCAAAAAATTCCTTTCTTTGTGGCCATCCATGTCATGGGAATGCACTGTCGCAATTTCAGCCCTTAAGATCTAGTGGATTGGTCTGTGCGTTATCAGTCAGTCACGGGACTGCATAGCAAACTATAGATCTAGAAACTGAGTAAAAAAATTCTAATTTAACCGAGAAAGGAATATTATTTTTATTGAAATATTTTTAAATGTAGACATAATTGTGAAACTTTGCTAACTGAATTTCTGATCAAAATGGGATTCGAATGAAAATTTTGGTGTTAAAATTACTCACAGATATTTATATTTATTTACAATAGTAATACTGACACCAAAAAAACTTCCAGTGTTCAGACCTGGCATGCCTACCTCCATTTTGGAAAATCGAAATATTTGACTTATCCATGTTAACAGTAAGGTTCCACAGTTGACAATACTCTGCTAACTTACTGACTGTAACACAGTGGGTGGTCTACAACAAATACAATGTTATCTATGAATATTAAACAATAATGGCCATAAGAGACACTCTTGCTTTAAACCCATCTTCGTGTAAAAGCTATCTGTAATTCCCTCATGCTCCCAGACTCATGTTCTTGTATTTATATGTAATGCCTTAGAACATTTATTAGCACATCTATCCAGTGAGTCAAATGTTGATTTACAATCGATAAAAAAAATTATTTCTTTGTTTTTTGGTCTTAAATTTATTGATATTAAAAAGGCTAAATATATTTTCAACTGCAGAATAACCCTTCCTAAAGCCTGTTTAGGCCTCATTCATGACGTTATTCTTTAGTGTCCGAGTATTGTCATACCAATAGCAAACCAGTAAATTTTCATAATATGTACCGTCAGAAAATGCAATCTATAATTCTGTACATTAGCATTACCATTTTTATCTAAAGAGAAAATAATGGAGTTTTTAAATGGCTGGAACATCAGCTGCATAAACATGATATAAAATTTCTAAAAAAATTCTAAGAAATTACTGGAACACCTGGGTGCCTTGCCATCTTTCGCCGTATGTAATACCTCTTGTAATTCACTAAAATTAAAAAAGGGCATGAAGAGAAGTTCCACACAAGCCCACCTCACAAGTTTAACGTTGTCAAATTTTGTCTTGTCTCAGTGTGTTTGAGAACTGATAATTCTTGTATTAGGTCAATTATTAAAAAAGTACCAGGCTCAGGTACTTTATTTGAAGTTTTCAATTTTTTTCATTTATTTTATTTTTTTAATATAAACAAGAATGCTTGTAATTCCAAACTCAGATGGGATGAAATCGAAATTTAACTGCGCCCATGACCTTGCTTCTTTTGGAATGTCATACATTCGGTCAGCAATGGCCTACTTCTTTAGGGGAAAACATTCATATATTGGAAGTCTTGAAATCATAAGTAGACTTTTTTTTAAATAAAACACCAACGAGTAGTGTTATTAAGGAATTGAGCAGTTGGCCTTTAGATTTATTGAACTTTAACCAGAAAGGTGATATTGTTCTGCCATCTCAGAAGAAGACATACAAACTTGTCCTTCTTTTCAGCCAAAGACCTTCAAAAACACTTAACTGATGGGTCATAAGGGGCTCCCAGTTTTGAAGTTTAGAAGGAAATATATACAATAATTTATTGACTTTTGCACTGGTTGATTTAGTGTGTAATGAGTTTATTAATAAATTCCAAGGAAGTAAAGTAATTCCTGTCATGAAGGTGTTCTCTACTAACCATTGGGTATCGGTGACGAGGGATCAAACTACTTTATAATACCTTTTACATATATATTTCTTATTAAAATTCCTTGTGCTGTAATGGGAGTGGAACTCATACAATTCAGCACTAGAATGGCAAATACAAATCAGATTCCTAAACTCTCGGTCGCTGTGGTTCCATGAAGAAATGAAGTTGTCTTCATTTGTCAATTATTACTGTACTTATCCTTCTTTACACCCATTATGCATGTAATATTCATCATTATTCTGTGTTTGATTTATGATGCGGAAAACTTAACATATTCTTGTTTTATAATTTGTCATTTTCTATTAATAATTGTTTTTAGGTTGTCTGGAAAATAATGCAGGTTTATGGTTATAAAATAAAAACAATTAACTAAATAAATTTAAATATAAAATATACTCCATCATCAATCAATAAATTTTTCATGTTGTAAAACATCCAGGTGTCTGAAAAAATGGTAGTCGGTAGACGAGAGATCTGGAGAATAGGGAGGATGAGGCAGAACCTCATAACCAAGATCAAATGTTTTTATGTTGTCACGTGTGAGATTGTCTTGCAATGGAATCGGCCTTTTCCGATTGACCAAAGATGGCTTCAATAATGCCAATTTCTGGGGCAAGCTTTGAGAACAGTACATTTTGGCATTGATTGTTTTCCCAGGATTCAAGAAGCTGTTGTAATAAATCAGCCCAAATGAAGCGCAACAAAGAAAAGGACAAAGGAAAAGGTTCATTTCTTTTTCGGCAAAGAAGTGTTGTGCAAAATCCATAATGATGATTTTTTGGCAGTCGTTTAATGCATGAGAAACTTAACTTTTTAGCTTTTTAACCTTTTCAATTGCATTAAAGAGGTCAGCGAAGGTTGATTTGCTAACTGAAAAGTTCTCTGCAAATTTTTGAACAGTTGTTCTGAGATTTTCTTCATCCAAAGCTGTCCCATGTTAATGAATATGTACTCAGATCACCGCAGAAGGAATTATCCTATACACTGTAAATTATTATATTAGTATATTTTCTACTTGTAAATTTTGTGATTGTTGTTATTTACAAAATAATGCATGGATGTTTAATGATACTTTACGATAAATTGGACATATATCTTTGTAAAACATTTTCCATGAGTTGAATTTTCTTAACCTGTTTTTCCTCTTTTTTCATAAAAACCCTGCTTTTCATGTATTTATTCTTTTTGAGATTTTCACTTTGTCTAAATATAAGATTTGACTTAACGGTTAAATGTACAGCCAACCTGACTTGATTGGTCCTCAACTAATCTTGGTCATAGATAATTATTATGAAATAAATTAATGAAATAAATTTTATCTTTCTTAAAATAACTCTTATTATTTCTTTCAGTTCTTGGACACAATTTTTAGTTTTCTGGCCAGAAAAACAGATTTCTACTCAGGTGGCGATGAAAGCATTGCTAGATCAGTAAGTATTTGTATTTAATGATTTTTAGATAGACTTTTGAATAATGAAATATATAATGAAATATATAAATGAAATATAATGAAATAATAATGAAATATAAACAAAGTGATTGGTATAAAAGAGTATAAGGGATACGATGTGTGGATCATGTTTATAAATTTTCTGATTGTTTTAATAACACAAAATAATTTGTGTAAAAGACATAATTATACATTCAATTGATTTTGTTTTTAAATTATACTACTTAATTTAAAAAAATATGTACAAATATAATGTTTTACATTTATTTTAGCTCATTATTGAGAAGTATAACAAATACAAGCCAAAAGCAGCACAAGTCAAAGAGCAAAAAAAGGCTGAAAATGAAGACGCTGATAGAAAACGGAAAGAAAGGGCTAAGAAGGAAAAGGAAGCTTTGAGCAAATGTGAGGTCAAAGAGTTAACAGATGAAGAGGCAGAAAAGATTCAAAAACAACTTGATGAGGTATGCAATTTTGTAATGCACAATTTTTTTGAGATTAGTGTTGATGATATTTGCTCAAAATTAATAATTTTTAGGGAAAGGAAAATTCAGCCAATGGAGTTAGCACTGAAGAAAGAGGCGATGGAGATAAGAAACACAAGGGTGAAGAAGATACTCCCTCAACTTCAAAAGATGAGGATGATGAGGAGGACAAAGGAAAGCTAAAGCCTAACAGTGGAAACGGTTGCGATCTTCCGAACTACAGGTGGACACAGACACTTAATGAAATTGAGGTAAGTTTTTTTTAACTGCCTTTCACAATAATGGGCGATCTCTCTTATTAATATTTGAATATATAATGTGACCTAAATCTCTTTAATTTATTATTAAGGGTTCAGTTTAAAAATAGATTAATGCTACTCTTATTCCACATGATGTAAATAATTATGAACCATCAACTTTTTTAGTAACTAAAAACCCAAACCAAACCAATACAATCATTAACATAAATGTTCCTTATGCCTTCCCATATAAAAAATTTAAAATCCAACCAGTAATTAAAACTACGGTTTATATAGTTGGGTGTAATCAACTTTGGCTTAGGCTCACCTTAATAATGTTGATATGTAGTCTTTAAATTAAAAAAAGCTACCAAAGTTTTTGGATGAATATAAAAGTGCCCATTTTTATTTTTGGCATGTCAGGAAACTTGCATTTAATCGTCTGCATGTGTTTTTAAACCTATTTTAGTGAAAATAGAATGAAACAATATGGATATTATTTATAAATTGTTTTCCTTTTCCTCCCATTCTGAGTTAATAAAACCCAAGTTATGAATGAAAAAAAGGATTTGCTTAATTTTTCATATAAAGAGTTCAGTTAAAAAACAAACATTTCTTTACATTTTTCCTGTAACAATAAAAGATTCACAAAACATTAAAAAATATCTACAAAAATGTTTACAAATTAAACATTAAAATAAACTTTGTTACCAGTCTTCTTTCTTAAAGCTTTGACATTGTTTTCTTTTAGTTGTATAAACAGAGCGTTTATACAGGTTGTACAAGTACTTTAGTGTAAGAAGTTTAGGGTGAATATAAAACACATTACTTAAGGGCGTTTAATAAGAAATACACTACATACTATTACATATCACAATTAAATTTAAAGTAAATTATAATCCTTATATTTTATCATATCGATCTAAAAATGTACATCGATAATTATATCTACTATTCAGTAGAAAATTGCAGTTATGATGATTTTGATGTAAGCTAATTTCAATCACAGTCAATGCACAGATTTAAATTCTAATCTAAAAGTTTTGGTGGTTTGAAAACTACAAAGAATAAAAGCTTTCTTTCAATTTCCCATTTCAAAATAGTTTGCGTATTATTTCCAGTTACACCACAGACCCATATTTACAAATTGCAAATTTTGTGGGCGTATTGAAAGAAGGATTTCTTTGTCAAATTGAAGTTGCTTAATATTTTTAACGTGTTTTTAATCAATCCATGCACTCACCTTCCATTCAATGAATATTTACAATCATAAATTAATAAATTCTAATTCTTGCAAAGTAGACCAACTTTGCCTACACATCTTCTCAACCATTGTATTAAAAATTTGAATTTTGTTCATGTTTACAGTTGAAATTTTTCTCAAAAACATAATACTGTTGATTAAATAATTTAAAAAAGTTAAATGTTGGGAGACTTTCCTAATCAAGAATATTTCACAGATCTCGATCTCACTGAAATAAAAAGAGAAAACAAATTACCCTTACACAATCTCAAAAAAACTAAAAACAAAAAATAAAAAAAGAAACTTTAAACGTACTTTCTATATAGTAAATAGCAGCAGATAGGCCTACGAGAAACAGAGCACACATTGTGATGACAAGAGCACTTATGTGGTGCTTTGCACAGCAGGACTGCTTTCTCTCTTTGCACTTTGTGTTTCCAAAGTTGACCATTGTAAAATGGGTCGAAGAGGCAATCGAACATGCGTCTACATCCTTTCTCGGCTCTAGCCTGAGCCCTGCAAGGTTCGCTGCAGTGAGCAGCAGAGAACCGGAAGAACCACTCTGAAACAATTGGCGTACATTAAGTTCGTAAAACATTTCAATGTGTCGAGTCTGAAATTTTCACTGGCATCTTTTTGCGACTGATACTTAGTCAAATACCTATATCGTGTAATTTTGTTTTAGTGGAATGAAATAATTATTCAAACTTAGTATGTTTGATTTGGACATATGCCCAATATTATTCTAAAATAAACCCTGTTTTAATAACAGGACTGATGCTATTGATTTTTATTTTTATAGTTTCTTTGTAGCACATTAACATTTATATGTTGTATAATTTTTGTTTTATACTGTACGACTGGTTTGCTGGTCATATCTCTAGATCTGTCATCTTCTTGGTCATCTCCTGGTCACATTGTTGAAAAGATCAATGATAGATTGAACTGAGATGGACATATTAAACATATCATTGTGAAATGAATCTCATGAATTATGTCATCAATCAAACTAACAAATCTTTTGTGACGGTCCAATTAAAAAAAATAAATTGTCTCTTCTTGAGAGCTATTGTCAAAATGTGCATGATAATAATTATATTAGTGGGTTGTCGTAAATAAATATACATTAATTGGTTTAGAAAAATACCTGAGTACTGGTATTACTAGATGGTGTTGGTGATAGCCACTCGTTGACTGTCTGAATAGACCTCTCGGTAGTGGTCGTACAGGTACAAGTTGTGTCATTTCTGCAAAGAGCCGGCCTCGGGATGTACCAACCACCTCCACCTTCTTCTTCCAACTGTTCAAACACAAGAGATATACGAATTATTACGATTGTACAATTTATGTCAGGCTTGATATTCGGAAGGAAATATTTTCTACCCGATGACCCAGATTGTCGGAAAAGGGCCGGGATTATATGGGCCCGATGGGAAAGCGTTTCCACGGTTTGTTTCAAATTATTAGGTTGGAAGAAAGCTCAACGTGTACCGTACGTGATCGCGCATTTCGTACTTCTCGTACACGCCCTACGTCAACCGTACTTACGCAACGCCTAGAAGTACCCGACACCAAATAAGGATGTCCTTCCTTAAGTTCCGTTTTTTTAAACAAATTTAATACGGTTTTTATTTACTTTTATTCCCCTGTCGAACATTGGTTTTTCAACGAAGCTGACATTTCCATAATACCGAAATTCTTCCTTATTTAGAAATATTTTAAGAACGCCGGTTTAAAAACAGGCTCCGATTGAGGAAGTAAGAATATACTCGCGTTCAAACTTAATTAATTAATCTCGAAATCAAAACCACAACCGGTTGGTCAGTCGTTATAAATTTTTATGGGCAGAAGTTGTTATCTTTCTTAATATATGCTAAACATCCAATGATTTGTTAGTTTTGACAGCAGCTAGTCAGTTTTGGGTGTATCGTGGTCATCTGTCAACTAAACTAAAATTTAATTAACTGTGTCCTGATGTTTAGAAAAATTTAGCTTGTTCGATAAAAAATAGACCAGATTTAAATTTCTTAGGTGCACGTGACGAAAGGTTGCAAGCTCGGTGTACATGAGAGTGGTTTTTACGGAAAAACATCACCCCGTCGACTTGTTATCTTTCAATTCAAACGTCCAGACGAAATCACGTTTTCGATCTCACGGGTTGCTGCCGTGAGACCTTTCCCTTAACTTTCGGTGAATCTTTCTCAGACATGAGAAACGGGGCCTACCCAGTTATTCCCCTTCGGTGTTGGATGGTCATCGTTAGCAACGCGCCGTGTATGGTAGAAGATTTGACCCAATCTCTGCAAACACCCTGTTCGAGTATCATAACTAAGATTGGAAACAATCCATCTTTTATATTGGCTTGTTTAAGTTTGTTATGTAAAACGTACAAACGAAAAGTAATTTGAAGTTTTTGTGTGTACAAACAATCGTTGACTAGCGAGAGACCCTATTTCGGCTACCGTTATTCACTTCTACATTCCCTCCATCATTCACATTCATCACTCAGCCATTCATTCATTTATTACTTCTCACTCACTTCAATCATTTATTATTTCTTATGTACTCACATCGCCTCACTCCTTTACTAACAACTTTATTCACTCATTCTCTCACTCACTAATTCATTCACTAAATCCACCTTATTCACTCTAATTCCCCCTTGCTCTCACACTCACTCATTCACCCATTACTTATTACCTAATCGTTTTCACTCACTAACTCATTTCTCTTGAACTAATCTTCTTCACTTATTCTCTTATTACACTTCACCCAATCAACCTTACTACCTCACTTATTACGCTTCACATAATATTTTTAAATCACTCATTCACTTATTACTCTTCACCTAATCTTCCTCATTCACTAACCTGTTCTCTCTCTCTCTCTCTCTCTCTCTCTCTCTCTCTCTCTCTCTCTCTCTCTCTCTCTCCTTAACATTATCTCACCCACTAAACTAATCTCATTTATTACTCTTCACCTAATCTTCCTTACTCGTCACTCATTCACTTATTACTCTTTCCATAATCTTTCTCACTCACTCAGTTTCTCGCTTATTCACTCACTCACTACTCTTTATTAATATTCTTCACTCACTCATTCAATTATTGCTCTATAACCTTCACCTGATTTCCCTCACTCACTTTTTCCCTAATCTTTTTCACTCACCACTTTCTCGCGTATTCATTCACTCACTCATTCATTCATTACTCTTTACTTAATATTCTTCACTTATTCATTCATTTCTCAGTCTATAATCGTCACCTAATTTCCCTCACTCACTCAGTCATTTGTAATCTTTTAATCTTTCTCACTTACTTACTCAGTCACCCATACTTACTACCTAATCTACCTCACTCACGCATTCACTTATTACTTTTTTTCTGCTTTCCAACTTGCTAAGTCGTTGACTACCTACTTTACAGTTTAGCGCATGTTAACCGGATTTAAAGAAGTGAGAGTGTAAAATTTATTATGAGTTGATTTTATTTATTGTGCTCTGTAATTTATTTCCTTAAGCTAAACTTTTACTAAGATACCTGCACATAAGCCATTTGTGATAAGTGTGAACCTTTTAGATTGGACATTCTCCTTGTAGTCGGACATCGTCTTCGTTTTTAAGACAGTCCGAAGTAGTAGAATTCCACGTGATGTAATTAAATGATGAGAAACATTCTAATCCTATGTGCTGGTGCTTGTAATTCAATTTCTTACATCACGCAATTAACATGGAAATGCGTAAGTTATTTAATTTTCAAACGGCCGAAAGTGAGGGGGAAAAACTTCCGAACACTTGGTGATCCAGATAAATATCAGAAGATTTGGAAGGAGTCGGGGTACGATAAGCTCCTAGCAAGGAAATGATGTAACAGCCCGTGACCTTGTCCCCGGAAGAAAGCTGTGAGCTCATCATAAGCGCCCTGCGGGTTAGATAATCCACTCTTTCGTTTTGTCCTCTCCACCCGCAGACGATGAACAACCCATGTCCCAGTTTCGACTCAACAAACTATTAATCACCATTGCGAAATGTTCCTAATACAATAGACGATCTGGTAACAGCGTTACTCAGAAGGTCTAGTTTGTCAATAACCGAGCCAGCACGAATTGCCCAAAACGGATTGACCTTTTGGTATTTTTTGTCTTATTGAGTTTGTAATGGATTTTGGCAGGCGATATCTTCTTTTAGAGTCGTATCAACTTGGGTGATTGGCTAAGCCCGATTTACATTAGCCAAATGTGATCGTGCCATCTCTTGCCCTTAAAGGTACGACGATGGTAAAATCGTTAAAAATTTGGTGAAATTTGATGATTCTGATTTGCACTGATGATTTTGCGCTGAAAAACCCAACATTGATTGTATTCGTTCATATAATAAACTCAAATCTGTAATTTAGTCGTTTCCAACAATTTTGATCTGCATATCTACGCTGGTTTGTTCTGTTGGAGGCGTTTTTGAGCTATGCCAATTCTAAATCTTCTTAGTTAAATCTATCAGGCCATCTATGATTGCATTTGGTCGTTTTAGTCACGAACCCTCCACTGAAGACGGCTCAAAGCCGAAACTCGTCTGACATAACAAACCAGCGAGGATTGGCAGGCCAAATTGATCGGAAACGACCAAACTCCAGGTCATCACCTCGTAGACCTCATGAACTCAAATATGCTTTATGTTCTACACAAACTATTTTGTTCATCACGTAAAAATCTCAGTTGTTTCTATGTGTTTCTTAGTTGTTAATATTTGTTATGTAAATCCTGAAGGATTTTGCATTTTTAGATAAAACATTTTTTTTAATTCTGCGTAGTGTGTTCCCTCCTACCACTTGTTTTGTGCTACACTGAGCGCTGTCCAATTTTTTCTTGTTTAAAATTGGAATAGCTTATTCTCACTATCTTGCTCCCTGGCCTTCTGTGTCATAACTAATGATTATTATGCATATTTCTGATTTCGTAATCTATGATTATTATGCATTTCTACTCGTCTAGTATAAGTCAGTAATTACGTTAAAGGCTACCCCTATAGGGCATATTTTGATATTCTAGGTTAAAAAAGAAAACCCAATAAGGACTAGAGTGTTCATTCTCCAGTAGGTTCAATTTCTTCGCTGTCCCATTAAAGCGTATCGAATCAGTTCAAACTATATTAAAAAAGTTTTTGGTTTGAATATGTTTAAAAATTTATATATAGTGTTTTTGTTTTGTGAACACTTGTTAATTATTGTTTTGACATTTTGTCGTGTAAAGTGTTGGTAATTAACCAACCCTCTTCCTTACTCATCGTCCATTCCCCCGAGCAGAGACGTTTCGAAACGGTTCAAACTCGAGACAAAATAGTTTCCAAACGACTGTAAATATTCATGAGCACTGTGCTGTGTGTGCAAGGCTTTGGCACAATTCCTCAACTTTTAGTTTTGTAGATGTAAATTCCTTGTGTAGCATGACTACTGTCAAAACACGGATTCGGAGAAAACATTCCAAAACCGGTGATCTATACTATTTTAAAACATACTTGAATAAAATTATTATTTGGGTAATTTATTAATGTAATAAAGTTCATGGCCAATAACAAAGCTGGTTTTGTTTTGAAAATTTATTTTTGTTAATTGGTGTAAAATTTGTGAATTTCTAATGATTATTTGGAGACCGTGAGATGCGGTCTTGTACGATGTAGGTTTAGAAAAACATTTTCTTTATTGTGCCAACGTTTCGATCTTTATTGAGATCATCTTCAGGGCCTGGGATTTACAAACATTGTGTAAATTATACAAATACATGTAGGATGTGAAAAAATGAATTTATTCAGTGCGAGAAATTTTAGACTCAAAGTATTTGTACCCAGGATGATGTTACTTTGAGTGAGTCTAAAATTTCTAGTATTGTATAAATTCATTTTTTCACTTCCTACATGTATTTATATAATTTAAACAATGTTTATAAATCCCAGGCCCTGAAGATGATCTCAATAAAGATCGAAACGTTGGCACGATAAAGAAAATGTTTTTCTAAACCTTCATCGTACAAGACCGCATCTCACGATCTCCAAATAATCATTAACTGACGGTCACTAAACACCACACACTTGCTGTTTAATTTCAGGAAAATATGGGCTCAGGAAAAAAATCGAAATTTTAGATATAAGTATGAAATCATATGACTGGAGAGGGTTTTTTACTATAAAAAAAGAAAAATATTCAAATTGAATTTATGTAGAAAATTTGTAGTCGTTTTTAATTATTGTTGTCTTGAAGTTATTGATTGTGTGAAAATTTTGAACTATACAAGAAAAAAAAACTTAAAAAG